TCTGGGCACCCTGTGCCAGCGCCTCAGCACCCTCACAGGGAAGAGCTTCTGCCTAAGAGCTCATCTCAGTCTCCCCTCGGGCAGGTTCAAGCCATTCCCCTTGGCCTCAGTGCAATGTGTGCTGGCTCCTCGGCTGCTCCTCAGTTGAAGGGGCTGGGAATGCCATAGCTACTCCTGCTCTGAATCACGAGCATCACATCCCTTTCCGGGCTGCCTACCTGTACCTGGGGGAGGGAAACAGCTCAGCAAAGCTCTGCTCTGCGCTAGTGACAAAGGTCTCGGCTGCTTTCTCTTCCCAGTTTCTTAAAAAGGGAAACCCACAACAGAACAAACCCCAAACCCTCTAAAGATTTCCATTTCTCATTCCCAGGGTGTTAATGCTTCCTCAGGCGGAAGCAGCATTGTACAACAGCTGAACCAGCTCCAGGTTGTGTGATCTACACCTCTGTGACCCAAGAAGATAAATCCACTCCGATCCCAGCGTTACCAATGCACACAACTCCCCATGGACTGCCCGTTGTTAGGTAGATTTCACAGCTCTGGAAGCCTTCAGAGAATACAATGAACACTACAGGTCCCACGTGCATCACGATGTTGCTATGCAGGTCCCCACATACAGATGAAATAAAGGTAGCAGGTGTAAATAAGACCCTTTAAAGACCAATATCATGAGGCTGGGTCCTAGCAAGCTGAAAATCTCTTACTACTTACGGTGCACCTTATATGAGCACAACAGAGCCCTGAGCCCTCCGGCTGCTCTTGTTCAGAGTGCACTTCCCTTTTTTGTTCTACTTCACAGCAACAGGGCAGAAAAACTGCTTTATGGGCACTTTCAAATGGAGTTTTTAAAGCACTTTTAAAGTTACCATTTGCAAGTGTGCAAAAATTCACGGTGTGCAAAGAAAACGAGGCAGGGAGCTGCTTGGGAGCCACGTGGAGCCTCCTTTGAGAGCCCTGTAAGCAGGGAAAGCCCTTTGCGCATGGGAAGGGGCTGGCAGGGCTCTGCCTCCCCGTGCTCCCACCAGGCACCTGCACCATATTTGGTAGGGAAATGAGGACACAGAGCAGAGGGAAAGCCTGGCTTGGCAGGCACTCCACAGCCAAGCCTGCTCTGTGTGTGCTGTACTTTGTGGGCGCTGATGCCCTTCCTCTGCCCTCCAGCCCTCAGCCCACCAGGGATGGGGCTCTGAACCATGGCTTCCAGCATGACTGAAGGCATCAAAGCAGGCTAAACCAAGTCCTGAGTTACGGGGGATAAAACAGACAAGAAAAGAGCCTTTGGGTATCTTAAAGCTAAAGGAAGATGAAGAGTGGGCTCAGGACAAGATGGGGAAGATCAGGATGAGCTGCAGTGAAGCTCAGTGCAGGCAATTTTCCTTTTGGTTTGGTCCTTACAAAAAGGGTCCTCTATAACCCCAGCAAATGGACTTTAACAAGCAAATAAACAGAGACCCAGACAAACAGGCTGGAGAGCATTCAGATAAAGCAGATGTCTTCAGGTAGGCAGGGCCTTAGTAATCCTGCAGCACGCAACGCACTAAACACTGGTGCAACCTGAAACACAGGCAGTTTTCTTTGAGGCCTGTAGAAAACAGGAGAAGTCTTTCAAACCTGAAGGCTACACATGATATTTGTGCTCCAAAAGGAAGAAATTATTGGTCCATTTGTCCAGCTTTCTTCCAGAATTACTCTAGGGATAAGAGTGAACAATTCCTTTCTCCTTTCCTTGCCTTGTTTACCAGCCATCCAGAACAGTTTGTGCTAAAGCAATCCAGTTTCCCTTTTTGATAAGCCTAACTTATGAGGCAACATCCTTCTAATCAGCTTGAGGAAACAGCAGTTGATCACCGAGGGGGATACGCTGCGAGCTGGGAAGGAAAGGAGCTCTTAAAAAGCATTTGCTCGCCTGCTGCTCTGCAGGAATCGGCCAGATTCACAGCTATGCTCAGGGCTTTAAACAACCTGATCGTGTGAAAGAAGGCATTCCTACACTATAGCGAAGGAGGGATGCTTAGAAAATGTGCTCAGGACACAGTCAGGGTATTGAAACACTGCAGCAGTTTTCCCGATGGCACAGCAACACAAGTGACACAAATGCAACCCAGTGAAGCTGTACAGAGCATTCCTCTTGGGCAGGTGGAATCGGGTTTGCAGTGAGGAGCATCTCACAGGGCAGCAGCATTGCTAAAATGCTCTGGAATTGTAGAAAGCCATAAACTGAGGAGCAGCAACACAGGAGAAGGAGAAGCTGCTTGATCTGGGTGACCATGGGCAAAGAAGCACATTGTTCTGCTGGTTTGGGGGTGGTGCAGCAGCTCCATAGGAGACCGGCAGAAGCCTTTCTCTCTGACTGGTGTGTTACCAGCTCTTCTACCTTTTACTCCTCCTAATAGACAAGTTACAATGCCTTAGGTATGCAATGTAAGCACTGTGAAAATCAGCTGTAGAGAAATGTCAGTTGATGTACCTGCCAATGGAGTCAAGGCTGGCACCTAGAACACGATGGGATGTGAAGTTGCAGCTGGATAGCCATCCCCTGGCTGACTTTCCCTGTGGCTGACGCTGACATTTGAGGGCCTGTGCAGTTTTCAGGGTACCAAGCTGTCGTTTTTGAAGTTTCTACACTGACATTTCGTGTGAAGGAAGGAAACCAGTGAGGCTGAGAGGCTTTGAAGTGCAAGGGGAGGAAAGGCAAAACAGACCCAAGCTCATCTCGGTGCTCTCACTGCCACTGTCAAAAACCCCAGAGGATTTTGTTTCAACTTGCTGCATGAAAACAGGTTAAGAAATGGCAGTGACTGAAGTGCCCTAAAAGCGCCTCATTTCTGGTGTTTCAGACTTCACAGAATTCCGCTGTGTATGTGCCAAGAGCCCCGAGGGGAATTGCTGAGAGCATGGGATCTGATTGATCTACCATGAGACCAACAGGAAGGGCTGCCCATGGTACACCCCAGTCTGTTCCTAGCGTAAAGCACACGCAGTTGGATTGTTCTGGTTTGGTTTTACTAGTGAAGATGTAGGGCCAGCTCTACTTTTAAAGCAAGGCATTAGTTTAACTCCTGATTCAACCTGCTCCTAACTCTGCTCTAGCTTAGTAAATTTTGTCCAGCTTCCAAAAAGTGACAGCACCTGAGCTTAACAAAACCCCCATTCTCACTGAGCTCTCAGCCTCCTCATGCCCTTTGCCGAGACAGTTTTAGCAATCTGAGCCAAATTAAATAGAGAAAAACTTCAATGTAATAAGGTAAGAGTTTGATTACTGGCAGTACTGGTTAACTGGAAAGCATCTCTTTGCAGATGCTTTGTGTAAGAGTTATCAAAACCATTGCAGTACTTGGGCAAAAGGCAGACAACGGAGCTGAGAGCCCTGCTAGAACACACTGGGCAGTAACCAGAGTACCGCTGTAGAAGGGATGCTTCAGTGAAAAACAACACAAGGCTCACAAGCAAAAGAGAAAGGATTTCGTTAACCTGAGCAACACAGGTGGAGAAAAGAGAGCAAAAAACCCCCCCAGAAGTCATCGACAAGCTTTCAGGCTCCTACGTGCTACACACGTGAGGCAGAGTTTCCGGACCTGAAAGAAAGTTTGGCTCTGTCCCGTGCCTCCCACTCAAACCCATATCACTTTGCTGTGGTGAGAGCGTGGATTTAGGTACATCAAAGTGATCTCAAGTCTCCTGCTTTCACCATGATTTAACACAGGCAGAATGAAATCATCCAAGTAGATCTTAATCTGATGTTGCATTTGGATTTCAAATGTTATCTAGAAGTCACATTTCTATTGTGGCAACGCAGCGTATGGTGCTTGCTGCCATAAAACTAACTGTGCAAACATCGAGTAAAAGGTATTCGAGTGAACCATCAGTAGCCCTGGCAGATCTGCTCCTCCCAAACCCACCGTGCCCATTCCTGGACCTGAAAATCCCCACTGTGATGCTGGGGTGGAGAAAAAAGGATGGAGGTTTCTGCAGTGCCCTGACCATACCTGGGCTTCCACTCACCTACCTCCTGCTCTTGCTTGGGTGAGGGGAAAACCCTCCAAAACTGAAAGTTTCTGCTTTTTTTAAATGAAAAAAAATACATCAACATTTCCCTTTCAGGGGAAATTCTGAGTATTTGAGGTTCCACTCAGAACTAAGCTTATTGAACACTTTCCAGTGAATGGAAATACCCAGTCTCTAAATAGTAAGCACTGCAACACCAGGGCTCACAATTCGGTGTGTTGATCTATTGAGTCTTTCTCTTTTAAAGCTGTCCAGCTATGTCCTGGCATTCCTTCACTGAAATAAATGAAAACTCACCAAAGGGTTTCATGCGGAACATTTAAATCCCTATAATGTATTAAAATAGGAAAAGGTCACGCATGGGGAGTCATTAACAACATCGAGGGTCATTATTGCCACCAAAACTGGAGAATGGGGAAATAAATCCTCAAAGGCTTGCTTTTTAACATCAGTATATGCCTTATCAGTTATCAGAGTGATCTGCTGACGTTCAGTGAGGGAACCACGCAGGCTTTCAAAGAAGCCATTGCTAACGTGTTCGTTTGGCATTTGAACACGTTTGGATCTAAGCAGCTAGGGAATGGCTTCTGTCAGTTTAGCAACCTGGCATCTTCAAGGACTTCAGCAGCGAACAGAAGACACGAAACACTGGAGCTGCCTTTGGGAAGGCTGCAGCAACCTCAGCCAAATTCCAGTCCGAGCATATGTTAACTCCTTGCAGCCTTATGACCTGCCACAAAGTACCGTGGCATTGAGTACCCAGAGGGGGGAAACACGAGGCTTGTGCACAGCTCCACCTGTGTTTCGTTACCCCAGCCAAGAAACCAGGACCTGCTGCATTCCCCCCCTAATTCCAGGTCACTTCTGAAAGGGAAGAGGGCAAAGCAACACTCAACTCTGGGTTCCGCAAGCCTCAAACGTGGTTTCTCATTAAGCCACTGCCATCTGTTCCATCCCAGTTTATCTTTGCAACCCCAGAACGGAATGCCATGCAGTTCTATTGAAAAACATCCAAACATCTTTATTCAGCCTTTACACAAGCTTCTAGACCAAGTAACTGCAACAAAGAATGAACAAATGACAGCAAAACTTGGAAGATGCCAAGCTATAAACCCCCCTAACCAGAAACAAGACACACTGAGGGTGAAAATACCCTCAGACACTTCACAGGCCAAGACGCAGGCTCAAGAAATCCATCCACGAGGAAGTGTGTCAGTGCCTGTTATTTGAAAGAGCATTACCCAAACCATTTTGCTGTAGTGATCTAAACCACCCTCTGCGTCCATGGCCTCCTCTTGCTCAACACCTCCAATCTGGTTTTTCCACTCCTTTAGCTTTATAAATTCGGGGTTCCTTTTTGGTTTTCAAACAAATGAGCTTTGGTTTTACCACAAGCCCCAAAACAAAAGTCAACAGAATGGAGGGTGAATACCAAGGCTCATCTTCCTAGATTGCTATACTGAAAGCCACAGAGTTCATATTACACTGTTATGCTTACTTATCTTGAAATCATACCTCTCTGGTGAGTGCTCTATGATGAGCAAGATTCTAGATGAGGTAGATTGGAGAAGTCTCTGTTGCGGGGGAGAGGGAATGAAGTTGGCACAGGGATTTAATTACCCTTTCCCCCATGCTATTCCTTTACCTTTGTGTTATCAGACAGTGCTGCTGGCTGGCGTTGTACAACCTGAGTTTTGCTTTCGCTCACTGAAATCCCTGAGGCTTTATTCTCATTTGTCTCATGAACCAAGTTTTTTGTAGACTTCTTTGGTTTTCAGCCTGGTTGTAGGCAAAAGATTGAAGCTATCATGGGGCTGCTCGTCCTGCTGCATTTCTCCTCTCCTTTCTACCACCAGTAACGAGAGGCAGACAAGAGATGTAGATGAAACTGTACAGTTGAGAAGTGGGGACTGGAGAAAGAATTGGCTTGAGAGGGAGGGAATACACAGGAAGGCAAAGGATGGAAATGTGCAGCTAAAAAGCAAGCTCCGTTCTACTTCTCGGAGAACAAAGTGTTCTGAAGCTCTAACATTTCACTCCAGATTTCTGCCTGAATGGAGTTTGAGGACAGGGCTGAAATTTGAAAGGTCACTGGTTATGGAACTTGCTCCTGGCAGACTCCTGAGCACATCTCTTCCCAGTCTGCTGAGACCCACTGTATCAATGACTAACGTGCCTGCACCTAGCTGGGAAGAACAAGACATTCCTGAACACTAACCACAGGCAGCCTGCATGGATCCCTTTCTGCCCAAGGATCCCCTCCTCTCCATGACATTATTTTCTGCTCCAGCACAATCAAGGTACTGCTGTTAACACCCGTGCAGGGTAAATACTAGTGCTCAGAATGCACAGCAGAGAACTGTTGATGTTGTGCCAGAGAACATCCGTTGAGCTTTGCTGGGCAAAGCAACCTCAAAACAAAACCATCACAAAAGGATCAAATCAATTCACCGTTAAAGTCACCAAGCTGCTGCAGCAAAACACAGAAGAAATTTGGTTTGATAGGAAGTCAAATCAGCACCTGGTTTTCAATTGCTAAGCTCCTAGAGGGGAAGCTCGAATCCCAGCCCCATCACTAATGAAAGAATAAAGCTTATTCCTCAGAAAGCAGGCCAAGGCTGTCATCCCCTCTTCACCCACATCCACCAGCTCAGCAGTGAGGATGGCTCTTGAAGCCTTTGAATTAGTTCAGTTTCTATGGTTTGGCACTTGCTCATCTGACCACAGCTCCTTAGACTCACGCATCCATCCTGGGAATTACGCTGCACAGACTCAGGATGACTTAGCTTCCAAAAATCAGCTGTTTTCAGGCCAATGTGGCCAAGGTAGAATCAGAGTCTGCTGAGACTCAATGCAGTTACCTGCCACTGCACAACACAAATGAAAAGGTTACAGTCATCATTTTAAAGAAAGTATAATCAAGGCAAGGAGTCCATGAAGACATCTGAGGACAGGTACTTGAAAAGACAAAAAGCAGCCTTCTCTATGAATAGTCTGAATGCCAGCTGGAAAGTGGTGAGGCTTTTCACACACATTGGTAAAGAGAAAACAACTCTCTAATGGGGTTTGCCAGGCCACTGCTGACACACATCAACCAGAAGCACAAGAAAGGCAGTCCATAAATGTCCTGCTGAAAGTGTCCTGGTGCACATGGAAAAGGCCATCCACAAAGTGTCCATGCTCTGGCATCCCACCTGGCAGCAGTTCCACAGCAGCACTAAGGAGCCACCCACTGTAAACGAGCCCCAGCTCATCTGCTGCAGAACAGAGCCAAATACTTCTGAGAAGTCACAGTTCTTGCTCCAAAAAAAACCGTTGACAGTCCAGTCTGAGGCACAAAACCAGTGCGAACGACAAGCAACAGGGCAGAGCTGGCTGGAGCCAGGAGAGATGCAATGCAGTCACATGAAATGTATGTACATGCTCATCGTGAATGATCCAAGATGAGTATCTCTAGCAGAGATGGAGGAATGGCCACTGTTAGTGATGTGTCTTCTGAGCATCAAAGCAAGGCTCAGAGAGGACTCAGCAAGGTGAAAGTTGGTGAATGTCTTGGAGGCCTCTTCACATCCTCATTGGCACCTGCGGTACAGGAGCAGGAATGAGCTTCCTCACCTTTCTCTGGTAAAGCAGAGTTTATCAGTTTTCTGTTTCTGAATTAGTGCACTCTGGAGGCTCTGTTAAAATCAAAGAATGAATTTCCTCTTCCTTTATTAACCGGTCGTAAGCATTCACAGGGTCATCCTTTGCACAGCTCTGAAAGGGAAGAACAGCGTTTTAACAGCAGTCCATGGCCAGCATGGTTTGTTCAGCCCAGTAAGACAAGACCTGTTTCACAACATGTAGCCCTATATTATGGTGGGAAAGCCAAGGTAGCTGGGCAACAAGTTATGCTTATTAGGGACATGGCTTCGGCCTGGTTGACAGAAGTAACTGCTTTATTCATCACCAGAAACACGGGCATCTAGCAGAGAAAGGCCTGAGTGTTCACGAAAAACAGCTCAATAGAGTTGCAAAAACCCCAAATAATAAACCAACCAACCAGAAAACTCCTACCCAAAACCCCAACCCCAAACACATTTAAGAGATGAGCAGGCTCTGAGAGAACAGAATAATGCAATGCCACTACTGTAGCTAGAGAAGTAGATGCAATTTGAGGGGAAAAAAATCCCCCTCAGCTTTGGGTAACTGCTTCTGAACAACTCTTGCTGTTGTAAATCCTTAATCCTTTTACAATATATTTACTTATATACAGTTGGCTTTAAGACAGACATTTGGGTTCAATAGATTAGTTGGCCCAACAGGCTCTTACTAACCCGGGAATCCTCATTCTGCTCTCCGAACATGCGCTTAAGAATTTCTCTAGGGTCTGGAATTGGTGGAAGAATCAGTATCTTCAGCCTTCAGAAAATGAGAAAGGACAGATTTAGACGGAAGATGTATTAAACATCACCATTTCAAAACCATGTTTGGCTGCAGACAAGAGAATGTGTGGAGTCAGCTTTGGCACCGCTGCTCAGCCCTCATGCTCTGTGTAACCCAATTCCTAGTTTTACTTCCCAAATCAAAAGGAAACGTAATTGTTCCCACAGACAGATTCGAAATAACCTTCACTGTTGACCAAGACAGCGCCAAATGTGGACTTTTTAGAGAACTCTGGTTAAATATAGACAAGCTTAATTTTGAACGTAGACCTCGCTGCTTAGAGACAAGATACAATAGCTGTGCAATAAGAATCTGCCTGCAAGCAGACACAAGCAACGTTACCCATGTGCAATCAGAGCATGTTTATGGCCTACAAACCCAATTTTATTGACTGAGGCACGATGAGGCAGTCAATTTTGTTGTGCAGCAGACGTTATGGATAAAATAGCTGCTATTGAAACATGCAACTGATGGACAGTTACCTGCAAGAGAGATGAACTGTAACACAAGGCACAGACTAGCAGAATTAGTGGGCTGTGAATGGAGATGGTTACTTACCTTTTTAGATAGACCAGTAGAACTATTGTAGAGACTGCTACTATTACTGGAATGGTGACTATCAAAGCAAAGGAGAACGTAGAGTCCATCTTCTCGCCTGGAAAACAAAAACTGTAGAAACTTAGGGATGCTTTGAGAGGGTTTTTCAGGAATAATGACAACTAATTAATTGTCTAAGTTGTTCCTAGGTGGAATGGTGCTCAAATACACCAGCAGTTTGGTAGGCAAGGTCTCGTTTTGCAAAGCATATTCTAATGTAGATACATTTGGCAAGAAAAAGCAAACCAACAAGACCCAGGGCTGAAAGAGTGACAGCAGTGAAAGGGGTCACTGCACTGATGGAACCCCATCGACACACAGAGCAGCACAGGCAGTAACTGATGGCATTAGTGAAAGACTAGAACTCTTTTCACCTAAAATTAAATAGATCCATAGGAAGGTGATCTTTGACTCCCATTTCTTTAGCAGATACAGTAGAGTCATTACAGATGAAGAACAAAGTGCAACAAATTGCAGGAACTGCTCTCACCAATGCTCTCCTCTTTACTCCAGTCACTATAGAAGTTGCTGCTGTAACACTCAGGCTTTGGTTTTGCTCTCACTTTGAAGATGTACTTGCTGTTAGGATCAACACTAGGTATTGAGGTATAATTACTTTCAACCTAAGGTGAAAAGAAAAGGTAATTTGCCATGTATTCTCAGTCATTCACAAGCCTGTTTTCATTGTGCAGTTAATGTATTCGGAATGTTCTGACAGAAGATCTTTTTATGAATACTGAACTTCATAAAAAAGGACACAGTAGCGTTTAACCATCACAGACTGCATAAGCAGAGATTCCAAAGCTAGGATTTAATCTTACTCACTGCGGCATTTGGCATCAGTGATTAAACTAAGACTGGAACAGTGTGTGAAAATCTCTCATTCACACTGCCTTCCCCTCCCTGTCAGGGCAGCAACTTTGATCTAACTTTGACCATAGCAAAGGCTGAGTGAATAGATGGGATTGAACTTCATTTATTTATGATCCAAAATGCCAGTTTCCTGAGGAATGTTGATATTACTCATATTATCCCAGCCTGGTCTGGGTTGGAAGGGACCTGAAAGCTCCTCCAGCTCCAACCCCTGCCACGGGCAGGGACCCCTTCCACTGGAGCAGCTTGCTCCAAGCCCCTGTGTCCAACCTGGCCTTGAGCACTGCCAGGGATGGGGCAGTAGATGGGGAGAAAAATCTGCCCTCCACACAACAGCTCAGCCAGCAGCCAGACCCATTCACATGCAGCGTTTTCAAACAGGTACTGTGATTACTGACACCAATTATAAAAGGTCCAATTAATTGATTGCTTTCCTACATAAGGAATGAAAAATTACTTTGATTAACTGCGCATTGTCCATGTCACCATTGTGATATTCAACTTCATAAAACAAACAGTTTTCTGGGAAGGGCTCTGATCCACTCCATTCCACATATATCTCATCATTCACCTTGGACAGTGTAACTCGTCTCGGGGTAGCAGGTTTTACTGAAAAACAACATGGAAGAATTAGTTGAAAAGTATATTTCACTGCTCACAAAATTGTTCAAGCTGTGTATTGCACAATATTACACTTGCACCAATTTGGGAACAGAAGGTGGAAAAAGAAGTCAAGAAAGAATGAAAACAACTAAAGAATATAAGTAAAAATGAGTGGGAAATGATCCCTCCACCCTCCAAACCCCAAAACCTCTCTATATAATTCCCAAACCAAAGCTTGGCAGACAAAGGAAGCATCTAATCGTGTTGTCTCCTCCATGCCTGATGAGGTGCAAGCTTCTCAAACACAACGTACCAACAACCTTCTGTTTTAATTACTTCTTATAACGCCACATTATAAAACGTGGTGTTAAACTCACCCAGGGTGGTGGGGTTTTTACTCGCACACAGAGGCCTAATTTCTTCAGACTCATCTTTAATCAGAATCCTTACAGCTGGGTAAGTATTGGTCACTTTCGGGAAGCTAAGATTGAAAACGCATCCAAAGACTCCTTGGTGCACAGAAGAGTTGCTGCACTTCTTATGCTTCTTCATACCATCAAACCTAGAGGAATCAAACCATTGCTTTGAAACGTCAATAGAACAGGACAGCAAGGGGCCAGCTTGTCTGGAAACCTGTGTTACAAACTCTAAAGCTGTGCTATAGCATGTACAGAAGTCAAGCCAGGCAAAGTGAGAAGCTTCTGATTCATCTCAAGCCTTAGAAAGAATGCTGGTTTTGTGAGGAGTGCCAAGTAGCAGTGAGGGACAGGCCTGCTTTGTATCGAAACATCAAAGGCAATTGGGAATCTATTCCTAGGAAAGAAATGATTTATCAAGGACACATATTTGGATCACTTCCCATCAACAGAATTTCAGTTCTGTGCCAGACGGAGCTGCTCAATCTCCTTTAGCTGTGCCTCAGGTACCTCAGCTCTTGAGTTCCGCCCACTGCCTGTGTTTGCTTTTCAGAACATCAGTGTTCACTTTCAGTCTCAGAGGCTGGAGAACCTTCTCCCTTGCTCCTCTTTGCTCCCTAAGTCCCAATGAAAACATGCCAGTAACTGTTCCTCATGAGGAATGAGAAAATGGATTTTTTCTAGTTAGTTAGTTATTTAAGGGTGAGAGAGAGTAAATCACGGCTTCATGTAAGAGCACAACAGGAGGGATGTTCCCGTTTCACATCTCAGTATATAGGGCCTGGGGAAGACAAAATTGCATGTCCCATTCCCAGGACAAACCCCTTTCTACCCACCCTTGTCACCTCCCTGTGCTGGGGCTGATGAAGATGGAGCACTGAGAGCAGAGAGCACCCTGCCATGCATCAACCTGCTCTTGTAAACCTCTGTTTCAGCAAGTATTACTGGGCACTGACTGAACTGGTTTGTTCTAAGCTAACATTACATTCACATTCACTTTGGATGAAAAGATAGGGCTCTAGAGGAAAAGCAAAAGCTCCCCAAACCCACCTCACCTGCATTATGGAAAATGCATTTTCCAGTCCAAAAATCAACCGTTTCCTTAGTTTTCAGGTTTAAAATCTAAAAGGTATTTTTCTTTCTACACAGCATGAATTAAAACACTGTGCTGTCACTGCAGCTACATCTTTCGTTAAAATTAAGGGGCAAGTTGGAATATATAGCCCCAATCTAAAGCATTATTCCAGTAAGTATCCATATACCCAGAAATTCAGATCTTCCAGTGCCTCATTGGTACTGTTCTTGCAATAAAGAAACAATCTGTCTGAGTAGCAGCTGAGAGACAGAACAGCCCTCCCCGCATTTAACTAGAGCAGTGAGTTTTCTGCTGTTTGCTGTCCAAATGTATTAAATTGAACAACCAGCCAGTGAGACTGCCACTGGAAAAAAAGAGGAGGAAGTATAGTTAGTTGAGGTAAGACAGAAAGCTGGTTTAAAGCTCTAACAAGAGGCTTTCAGAAAGAAAACCTCAGTATCTCTACAGCAGCTAATGCAATCTGGCATTTCCCAAGCCCCATCAATCTGCAGAAGTATGCATCGATGAGCGTGCACAGATCTTGATGCCAAGTGCTTGCTCACAGCACGACTCTGATCCTCTGGAATAAGAGCCTACTTATGGCAGTCTGCTGGCAAGCGAGGATGATGACAAAAAGATGTTCTCCATAACATTCAAGGTGAATCGGTTATTTATGACATCAAAGACACAAACAGGACTACTTCTAAGTGTTCCTAATGCTTTCAAACCGTTTCCCAATGGTTTGAGAGCTTGCACAAACAATAGTGAGTGATTCCAACTTAGCCCATGTCTGCTGGGCTGCAAAGAAAGCAATTAATACGTTGGTCTAGCTCAATTCTTAATTCTTCCCTCTGTGAGTCCACAATTAGAAAACAAATAGAAAGCAATAGCAGTAGTTTGAAAACAGGCTACAGAAGCAGCCAGTGCTTCACATAATAGTTCCATCGACTTCCCCAGAAGACCCAGCAGCAGCACCCCTGGACCTTCAGCAGGGAAGTTAGCTGTTGGACAGGCCTGAACACTACCTTGTACACAATGCGCAGGGACCCTTCAAAGCAAAGGGAAGCAGACAAGTCAAAGATGTAATGTAAAACTAAAGATTAGCATTAAAACACTTCAGAGTCGGGAATTAAAAGCTCATACGAACCAGTAGAACAACATATAATTGGTCGCATCGCTTGCGTTTCTCCCAGGACGCCACGTACAAACCATGTACTCCAAATTGTGCCAAACGCAGCTCAAGTCGACAGCAGCAGTACCTGGAATACCTGCAAGGCAAGTTGGAAAGGTCCCTCAAGATGGATTCCAGTTGTTTACCACTTGCACTAGCCAAAATCTCAGCACAGTAACTTCTAGATGCAAGTAAATCATGACAGTGAATCTCAGCTACCACCGTGGCTGAATTACTACTTGGAGTTACCTGATGCTAAGGTCTTGAGTCAGGAAGATATTTTGTTCTATTACACTACAGATACTTTAAAGAGGATTTAAAGTAACTGGCAATTATAGGGATAACTATAAGAAAGCCAAGTATATAGGGATATATCCCTTTCTTATAGGGATAACTATAAGAAAGCCAAGCCAATTATGAGAAAGCTATAACACTGGAAATAGTCAGCATTTAATTATAGTTATCTTCTGCAGATACAATATTAATTTCTCAGTGTTTTGAATACAGAAATACCTGTAGATCTCAAATATGGACAAACACAACACGGGGTAAGCTGAATTTTTAACTGAGATCCCTATATCTCTGGACATTTAACTTCCTCACATTGAAATCTCAAATTACAGCACATAAATACAAACGAGCACATGGCAATTGTGAACAGAGACATCAATGTATCTCCCGGGCAGAGCAGTCATGGAATCCAGTCTTACATACTCAATCTTCTATGGTACAAGTTCTGTATACTGTATTATCAGATTATAGCATATTAGAAGTTTTTTCCTTGTAATGAGTAGCAACATCTCCATGAACTAAAAACTAGATGCATGTTAATTCTATCAACAGTTCAGACTTATCCATAGCAAACCCCAAACCACCTTCTACATCAAGCACACTTGTAAAAGCCCCAACCTGGTTAGCACTTGCTGTCCTAACAATCTGCTTCCCTGATCTTCTAGAGCACCCTTTTGATGCAGTGCAGACAAGGTGGTGAAGTCTCAGACTCTCCTGTCCACGTGTGGTTTTCATCCACATCAAGTCACACTCCTGGGTCAGACAGACTTTTACAACTCAGGGCAAGAGGCTCTATTTCCTTGCTGTACCTCCTAATTCCCAGTATCCAGCAGAAGACATTATTCCTTAAAGTCTGCTTCCTAACAATCTTGCTATGGAACCCTTATTTCTGGATGTCAAGAAGCAAAACCCACTTTGTCTCTGTTCATTTTGCTGTGCACAGCTCTGTAGACCCCAGCCACGTCTTTTGAAATAGAGAGAACTTTACAACAATCATTTAACTAACTTATTTATTCAACGTGTTTTCAGTTTGCTGGATTCATCCCTCCAGTTATTTCAGGGACATTTGTTTGTACAGAAAACCCATATAAAATAAACTGTCCTAGATGTTAGTCATGAAGTCAGCAGCTTAACATAGCCTAAGTTATCTCACAGCATGGCAGGGCCAAGAGGAATGACAGGAATCACACTGCTGCCTTGGAAGATCATTTACATTTTACAAGCTTGCTCATAAGGTTTTAAGTATCAGAAGGCTCCAGTTGTGTTTAAATGCAGTATAATAGTTGTGTTTAAGCTCTATCAATTGAACTGACCCTTGTGTCTGCCACCTCCCTATTGCTCTATGAGATATTTCTATGGTGTTTGGTTAAAACAGCGGAGAAAACGGGGCCATATCTCCTCAGCCCAACGGGGGCAGCTCTGCCTTGGGTCTGGCCACGGCACTGTGTTACCTTCTGGCAGGAGAGAGGCCTCCACCCACCGGCTGGGCTCGCTGGTGTTGGCGTTCTTGCATTCACTTCTCACTTTGAAGCGCATTTCCTCATTCAGGAACGTATCCGTCACGCGGAAGCGGCTCTTACTCCACTTCTGCGTTCAGATTGGGGGGAAAGAAGACCAGAACACACAGGAATTACTATCAGTGTAAGGACACATGGCAGCCCCTCAGAAAGACTGCAGCCCCAAGCCAAGGGAGTCTGACAACATGGGAAAAGCCAGCATCACTTCCATTCTCTTTTTTCTTCATCAGGCACACTCGGAACTCAAAGGAAAAGCGCTTCTACTCCAGTTGATCCTAGAGGAAGTCTTCATGGATAATGCAAAATAAGCCTGTTCATCCTATAGCTTCACTGCTGCTGACCTTCCCATCTGCTGGAACCTTCCGTGGACTCATTCGTTAACCAAGGGGGCTTTCAACTTGTTCATTAGTTAATGGACCCATCAGAGGAGGTAAATAGGTTTCTGCTGAGTTAGCAAGTCTGACCGGCTCATCTAAAGGTCCAGTGAAGGTTATTAGAGAAGAGGCTGTCAAAAATGACATAGTGTAACACTCTTAGCAGTGTTAAGCCATTAAATCAGCTCAGCTGTTGGCAGAACAGCAGCCTTCAAGTGCAGGATATCCTGGAGCTATCAGAATTCAGCAATCACCATGAAACTATAATAGGGCTCAACAACAAAGGACTGTTTCAAGAGGCATTTTGTTGTTTTTAACCATGTCCAAAACCATGTTCCATATTATCTTCAGAACACAATCCCCATGAATAACGGGGACAGGGGAAATGTGGGAACATTAACACTTGGCATTACCTTCAAAAGACACTATGCTGTCAAATCACAGCAACACCAAGGCTAATGTGCACACCTCTTCATCATCATCGAGTCATAGAATGGTTTGTGTTGGAAGGGACCTTAAAGCTCCTCCAGCTCCAGCCCCTGCCACAGGCAGGGACACCTTCCACTAGAGCAGCTTGCTCCAAGCCCCTGTGTCCCCTTGAGCACTGGCAGATAAAGGAGATCAGCCTTTGCAAATTCCCATTTAAGCTGCAGGTCGCAGACTGCTCTGCATGTATTTCATCTGCTCTAGAAAGCTGCATAAAGCAAAGCCTGAAACAAGTCTTTTCACGTTGTTACCGTGGTACTCCTGCGTTATGGGGAGCAGCTCGGTTATCAGAGAGCGACAGGCAGACTTCTGTCATCTGGAGATTCCACATGCTGTTATGACTCATTGCTGAGGTTTTGATCCCATCACAAGAACTAAAGGCTGCATTAAAACTGTGTTTCTCTATATTTAATTGTGTATATGGGCTTGCACACACGGTCCTCTCACAGTAAGGCATCTCCCAGGGCACAGCAGAGGTTAAAGAGGTGATGCACTTACTCTGTTGTCCTGAGGGACCTCATCAATCACGATGTCGCTGGAATACTCCAGGTCACAGTCACTGCTGACGCTCTCCGGGGGGTTCCACGTCCAGTTCAGGGTGCAGATTTGGATAAATGAGTATTCCAGGTTGGATGGAGGTGGGAGAACATTCGCTCCTAAAAGAAAGATGCTATCAGTGTAACAATCCTGCAGGTCCATGTTTTACCATGAGCAATACTGACAGACTTTTAACTCTCCAACAGAAAAGAATACAGATGACTTCTCTGCTCGTGTTTGCTACCAGGTAACAGGAATAGTAGGAACAATTCACCAGGTTATCTCGGTCCATCGGTTGTTTAAATAGTCATAAGAAACACATCGAACAACACTGAACAGTCATTTTTAAGGAACCACAGCATGCAGCAGTGCGGTGGCTGCAGTAATGGAATATGTTTGGGAGGAAAAGGAGTCATTTTCCATGTCTCTGCTGCTGTGGGCTTGCATCATGCACTGCTGAACCTTCACTCGAAATAGTACATACGTTTTATGGAGCAGCACTTGCTTCTACCTCCCAAATTATCCCTCAATGCGGTTTTAGAGAGAAAGCTTTAAAGAGCGACTCCATCATCCAAGCAGCAGCTGTGTGGCAGAGCCTCGATTCAGCTCAAGCCAAGCAAAACCGACAACGCCAAACAACATCAAAGAAACCACAATGGTTTTTCAATTACTCGCCCATTAAACTTTGACTGCTCTGCTCTGGCCCAGCAGCAAAACCAGAGTGGGACAAAGAGACATTTATTGCTGGCACACCTCAGCCAGCTGCTTTTCACCTCCTCCAAAGGAAGACAGAAGCAGAGGAAGAGCCATGACTCAGAATGTTGCTGGCATAAAACCACTCGTGTATTGACCCTTTGTTACTCAGTCACAGCCTACTCAATACCCAGTCACACGGCTTGAAGGTGCTATTGGAAAACCAAGGGAAATACGGTGGAAAATAGAACAGTGCCAGGAAAAAGCAAAGGATGTGTCAGACACGAGGAGGAAATTACAAGTGGTAATTCCCTAAGAAAGTGAAAGTGAAATTTGGGGTTTTAAAAGGCTACTCTGTGTCCTAGTAGAAGATATTCAGCAAGAGACCAAATGAGACAGCTTCTCGGGGTGTCTACGGGTACCATCAGTGAGGGACCACCACCTATTTGTCCATGGAAAGAAAGTGCCCCTCTCACACAGTAGTTTCACAACCACTTCAGTCCGATCCCAACTGGTGCTGCAGGTCTTGCTCATCCCAGGGAGCCTGTTTTTCCCAGGAAACCAGGCTCAGCCTGCCCCAGTGTTTGAGGCAGCGCGCAGGGAAAGGGCAGAATAACCCCATCCAGATCAGTTTTCCCACCCAGGTCACGGTGCAGCCCCGTTTCCTTCTTCCAGCACCAGGAAGAGGGCAGATGGAAAGGCAAAGCAACTTAGTTCAGGAAGAATTCTGCTCAAAGCATCCACCGCACCATCACCTTCCATTTCCCAAGAGCCAGAGCTTGAAGGAAATTCAAACTCCTGGAGCTTTCCCTTTGCATAAAGGCCAGGCAATGGTAGAGATGAAGCACTATTACCATGGCAGGGGGGTTGGAACTGGGTGATCTTAAGGTCCTTTCCAACCCTAACTATTCTATGATTCTATGACTATTACCATCTGTGTGTCCACACGGACAACACATGCTCACATAGAGAATAAGAACAAGTGCAAGGGTTCACTGGGTTGTCTCACTGTGTTTGGCTTGTTGGAATACTCAAAGCTTTGGGACTTCTCTGTTCAGTTTTAGAGCCCAGGGATAGAGAAGAGGAATTTCTGTTGAACCTCACCAGAACATCTCTGCCTGTTGCCTATTCCACTAACAAAGACCAAGGACCGGTTTTAGGAGCAGCAACAGTGTGCAAATACCGAGCCCTTTACATCACATAAAAGTATGATAAATACTCATCTAACACCACCACACAGCTCCAAGTGTTCTGTCTTGGCATAATCGAGCTTTTTATTACATACAAAAGCCACAAGCCATTAAAAACATTCACAGTCATCCCTGATCGATGTTCTAAAGGTTCCTTTTATTAGGGTTGATTAGAAGTCACTGTGCCGAAGCTTGCACATTTCTAACTACACAAAGTAAGAAGTGAGAATATCCAAGGTTTAGAAAGAACTCAATACATTGTATTAGGAGAAAACTTCAAATCAAATAGGTTTCAGATTGATCTCTCCCTGAAGAAGCTCTAATGTTTGACTCAGCTGAAGATTTGCTTTAATTCAGCGGCTCGGCCAGGCTCGTACTTTACTTGTATAAAATACGCAGAGGGTCGAATACTTTTGTTATTAAAACTTCACCCTACGACAGTTCAGAACAACCCAAAGTCCAAGGGCAAACCACGGTCAAGGCCTTATTTCAGCCTTAACCCCCAAACCCATGGTGATGCTTCTAAGAAAGCAGAGAACGGCTGAGGCAGCCCCGAAGGGAAAACGTCTTGGTTGTAAAAGCTGTCATGTGGAAACATCAACAAACACTTTACATCAAGTATCTTAAAAGCGTTGTAAAGAGTCATAAAAGACTTCGTATTTTGTCCTCCTGTGTTTTCTTAAGGCTGATTTCATGGCTATAAACCGCGTTATAGCCTGTTGAACGATAACAATGCTCAGGGTTTGTGCGCAGCCTCTGCCAAGGCAGAGCCGGGAAAGCTCCGAGCTCGGGTCCGGTGCATCCCTCACAGCCACCCCCCTTCCCTGCGTTGCTTCTTCCAGAAGCGGGGAACCTAAAAGCAAGGACAAAGGCACCGGCAGCCCCAGGGCGAGGGCAGCGGGTCCGTGACCGTCCCTGTGCTCAGGGAGATCCTGTTTAATCGGGTGTCACCGCCGCGCCCCGCAGGACTCAGAGTCCCGGGAACCGAAACGGAGCCCAACAGAGCTCCGCTGCCAAACGCCGCTTCCCTGAGACAAAAGCGGCACCGTCCCAGCGGAGCACCCGCACCCAGCACCGGCACCGTCCCAACGGAGCACCCGCACCCAGCACCGGCACCGTCCCAACGGAGCACCCGCACCCAGCACCGGCACCGTCCCAACTGAGCACCCGCACCCAGCACCGGCACCGTCCCAGCTGAGCACCCGCACCCAGCACCGGCACCGTCCCAGCTGAGCATCCGCACCCAGCACCGGCACCGTCCCAGCTGAGCACCCGCACCCAGCACCGGCACCGTCCCAGCTGAGCACCCGCACCCAGCACCGGCACCGTCCCAGCTGAGCACCCGCACCCAGCACCGGCACCGTCCCAGCTGAGCACCCGCACCGGCACCGTCGCACCGGGCTCCCGATCGCTCCCGCACCGAGCCCTCGCCGGCAGCGCCCGAACCCGCCCGGAGCCCGGTGGTCCCGGCGGCCCCGCCGCCCCTTCCCGTCCCTACCTGCCGCCGGGCTCCCGGCGAGCACCCAGCAGACGGCGAGCAGGAGCCGTCCCCGCACCGGGGCTGCGGCGAGATCCATGGCTCCGGCGTCCGAGCTCGGTCCCTCGCTCCCACTTCCCGTCGCGGGGGCCGGGCTAGACGGGAAGAGCCGGGCAGCGGCCCGCCCAGGTAACGCGAGCCGGGCGGGACCGGCGGCAGCGGCCCGCCCCCTGCTCCGGTCCCCGTCCGAGCCGAGCCGGTTCGAGCTCCCTGCGATGCCCCCAGGTCCGGTCCCCTCCCGGTCCCTCTCCCCCCGGTCCGCCCTTCCCCGTCCTCGCCGCCCCGTCCAGGTCCGGTCCGCGGGGGTCACCCCTCGTTGTCTCCCCACGTGTAAACGTGGCCACATCTCGCTTTGGGAGGCGAAGTCGTTTTCCTTTCACCACCAGCCCCACGCTCAGCTCCTGCTGTTGAAACGTGCCCGGGACATTCCTGTCCGCTCCCCAGGAAAGCACCCCCATCCGTCAGCACATCCCTACCTTGATGCTGAAGTTCACCCCCCTGGCAGAACTCCTCTTTCCCAAATCCCTCCTGCAAATCCCGGTCACTTCCACAGCTCTCATCTGCACTAAACCCGCATTTGGGTCTTTTTCTGATCCACTGCCACAGCTGCTTCTTCCCACAAACTCCCCCAAGCGCCCTCTGCTCCAGCCCCTGCCAGGCCCGACACCCTCACTTTACGGGTGCAATGCAGCCAGTGGTTTTCCCAGATTCCCACAGAAGCGGGAACATCACACAAGAGACTTTTTGATGCGTTCCAGGAGCAGAAAACATCGGGGATGAGGCTTTCCCTTCCGGGCTGGGTTGCTGTGGCAGCTCCCATTCACCACCCAAATACAGGTGTTAACACCAGCACAGACCCAGCAGAGAGGAAGCTCTGGCAACCCCACGTTCGTGATGCACATTGGTTATTCCGAAGCCAGCAGAATGGTTCAGCGTTTCCTCAGCACTTCAAGGAATTTTGCAAGAGCTCATCTGCTGCTGGGACACCCACTTCAGAAAAGGGAAGCAATCTCCGTGACAGGGCAGGGAATCCCACGGTGAACGCGGGTCTTGCTGGTTTCTTCCACTTTGTTTCTGTACTCCTGGAAAAAGAAGAGGATTTAACAGTTTCCTGGTTCATTCTAATTGAATGGAGAATTGTGCCTTCAAGCTTCAGGGGCTCTGCCTCCGAGTGAGAACACAGCTAAAGCTGACCCAAATCACCCTCCTCGCTCTTGCTTTCGGTTTTCTCACTGTTTCCTTTCCTCCCCTCTCCGGGCACACATCCAATGGTTCCAGTCCTTTTGGCTGCTGGTGAAATCTTCGTCCCTGTCACATTCCCTTCCCGGCACAGGGCGGTCAGAACTCCTGCCAAAGCCTCTGATCCCCGACACCTACTCGAGACTTCCCGGTTCCCATCTCATTGAGTCCTGTCCTGCATCTTGCTGTTGCAAACCTCCTGTTCCTGTGGGACAATCCACACTGCTGCAGTGACTGAACACACACAGACACACCTGAGGTATCTTTGGAATGATCTGTTGAAGAGGTACTTGGGATATGGCTTTGCGCTTGTTGTACGTTGAGTCACGATCGTGCTGGTGATCTGCCCTTGGCTCTGTGCTCCTGCTGCTTCCACCCACACAACCAAAGGCATCTGACACCGTCCCACAGTGCATCCTTGTCTCTGTATTGGAGATACATGGATTTGATGGATGGACCACTCGCGGGATAAGGCACTGGGCAGGTGGTTGCCCTCAAAGGGTCACTGTCCATAGCTCTATGTCCAAATGGAGATCAGTGATGAGCGGTGTTCCTCAGGGTTGGTGTTGGGACCGATCCTGTTCAACATCGTTGTCGGCAACAAAGTCCCAACCCCTGCCACGGGCAGGGACCCCTTCCACTGGAGCAGCTTGCTCCAAGCCCCTGTGTCCAACCTGGCCTTGAACACTGCCAGGGATGGGGCAGCCACAGCTTCTCTGGGCACCCTGTGCCAGCGCCTCAGCACCCTCCCAGGGAAGAGCTTCTGCCTAAGAGCTCATCTCAGTCTCCCTCGGGCAGGTTAAAGCCATTCCCCTTGGCATGGCCCTGCAGGTCCATTTCTATGTCTCAGATTTTCTGATGAACCATGGTTTGGGGATCCTCCGAGCTGGACATGTGGCATTTGTGCTCTTCAGGATTTCCGAATCAACATCTCCTATTTGCCACTGAATAAGTCAGTGTTAACCATTCCATTTGGTGCATTTATGCATTTAAGATTTATTGCAGTCATCTTCTTTAGAGGCAGCATGTGCGATAGCTCATTTGTGTAGGTTTTAGTGCCATGAATCTTACACCAGTATTAGAGCACTCTAAGTTTGCTGGTCTTGGAAAGCTCTGGAGCAGCATTGTGTGATACTCAGTGTTACATGGGTCAACAACTGAGATGAACGGGTTTTCACATGCAGAAGGTTAAACACACATAGAATCGTAGAACAGAATGTCATACATACATGCAATACGTATGATAAAAGCACTTCTGTTACAAATATGTAGTGGCAGGTGTTGCATTTACATGAAAAGAGAGTAAATAACACCCAGAACTGCTGTATTATGTCTGTATCATAACTGGTTCACGCTTGCTTGACATGAGCATATTACCTGAAGGTTAAGTACTACAGGCTGTGGTTGCACACTAATGAGCTGAACACAGCATTGCTCAATCCGGTAAGAACCCTGTGTTTAACCAAAACAACTCAGGTCAGTGAGCATCAGATGAACACAGACTACTCTCCTCCAGTGGCTACACTGAGTAGGATGGGCTTTCACTTGTGGTTTTGAGCCTATGACTTCCACTTACGTTTCCCTCCAGCTCTTTTTGGGCTATGGTACATCACATTGTGGGGTTATCGTTAAGCCAGCTGTGAATCCATAGGACTCTGTCCCTACAGGAAGGCAAACTGAACGGATTCTATCTACTTTGAGACAAAAGGCATTATGTTTATGCAAACTGTGATTCAATATCAAAGTAGCACGTGGTGTATGCTAAAAAGGCTTCTGGAACAAAATAAACACGTTTTATACACTACAGGTATTGTCACATCCATCTGTTGGCCTATCTCATGACAACGTCTGCTATCTGAAGACATTGAGAACAGTGAGTAATGAAGAAATAGATCCTTGGCTGCAGTAAATTCTGGGTTCCAGATTCTTTTTGGGGAAAGAAATAACACTGAAGTTACCAGGCTTAAAATACCACTTCTAATCTGCAGAAAGAAAAGCAATCAAAGCAGAGTGAATGCTTGCACTTTGGTAGGACTGTACTACACTGTGTAGGAGCAGGAATCTCTAGGAGCATGTTCGTGTACATGAAGTGCTGGCAGAACCTGTGTTGCTTTATTATGTCCGATATGCAAACAATCTGGTTCCAATCCCACTATTCAAACCAGTGCTGATGTCAAGAGTAGCCACAAGCTCTTAATCCTCATGGGCAGATGCTTCATCCTATTTCTTCTCCTTTTATGCAGAATTGCCAACACCTCCCTTCTGAAGAGTCATTGTGTTACACAGCAGGTTTGCAGTTAAAGTAATTAGAGGTGTACATAGGAAAGATGTATCTGTAGCTCTAGAGATAGAGACTGCACAGGTTGTCATTTGAAATGCATCCACTGACTTCTACAGACCAAAACCCTCCTGCACTGCTTTAGGTGGTGTAAGAAAACCCCAAAGTATTAATGAACATTAAACATTTATATTGCTTCAGAAAAGGTAGTAAATAGGAAGTGCCCATTGTGAGCACCAGCTGCATAAACCAGTCACACCTATGCAGCACTCCCCATGTGTATCTGTGCATTCAGCTATTTCAGCCAGAAATAAACAAAAATCTGGAGGATTTCTATAAACTGGGACAATAATGCAGGACAAGGATAGGCACAGAGAATGTGAACACCTTCTTGGCACCGGTGTCCAGCTGCAGCTGTGAAACAGCCTTTGACCAGGCCCTATCATTTCTAGATTGGTGACAATGGAAAGCAAAACCAGCCTGTTTGTTCCCAGTCTTACTACAACCCATCTCAAAAGGACAAACTGGATGTTACAAATCCAGTTGAATTATTTACCTGCAGGACAGAAGCACATCCTTAGCACCATCATCTTTGCTACTCATCAAAACTGCACAGAAGCATGTGTTCTGAACTGCACCGACTGTATGTATTCTATTTGGGCTGGTATTAAACACATTTTTAGCTGAATTACTGAAGCAGCTTTCCAGTAAATGAAACTGAAATGACAGGACAACTACACCACCACCAATTAATTGAGATGTTCAGACGAAAATTCATCCTGCACCATTAAAGAGATCCAAAAATAGGAGTAAGAATTTCACTGTAATTCCAGTAAAACCAAGGAATAACAACTGAAAATTCATCCAACACTGTTATTTCAGGACATCAAAGACATCAGGAAACATGAGTAAGAATTTCAATTCAGTTCCAGGAAAACTATTAGGTGTAGTATTTAAGAGTTGTAGTGCAAGAGATCTTGGTGTCCACATCTCATCTTTGCTGACTGCATTCAAGGTACACCTTTAGGACTGATGTTTAGGGTTTAACTAGCTCCAAAACCTAATGTAATGTATCCACTATTAAACAGCTTCACCACCTTTTAGTAATCTGGAACGTTCTCACTATGCCTTTAAATAGGATTTGGTGAAAGATGAAAATCAATAAGGTAGTAACTGTATTTAAACACTGCAGTCTCAATTCCTCTTTCTGTTAAGCTAAATTTAGAGCCTGCCTGGCATAAAAGCACACACAAGCAGAAGTGTGGTCTGGTTGTTACAGAGGCACATCTGTATTTTGCTTATGGCTGAATTTATGGATCACAACATTGTTGTTCTCAGCAGAGGAGTCATTTTAGGTAATTAGAAACATGCATAATAAACCTTTTGAATTGTGGTCAAAAACTATTTGAAGATAGTTTTTGTTACAGACATTAGAAGATTATTACTTTATAGACACTTAAGCCAAGCTAAATACCCAGCTGGAGTCCTTTTATTATGGCCTTTTGTTACACACCCTTAACCCCCTGCCTCCTTCCCATACGAACTACTGGAACCATATTTACAATTGATGGGATTTGAAAACCATGGGTGTTCTGAACATTGCTGGATAAAAGAATGCCTCATCTGGTTTCTTCTTCCTGCAGCTGAAAGGGTCTCACTAGAGACAGAGATAATATATTAAAGCTTCGTGGAGGGGAAGAAGGAATCAAAGAATTCCAGAAAATACATGATCTTCAACCACATGTCAGATAAAAACCAGTTTTCTTTCAGAAACCAGAGCTGTTTAACAGCAGGGAACATAGATGCCATATGATGGTAAAAGCCCCTCAATTGTGCACGAGTTATATCGATGTGCTGGGTTTCCTTGAGCACATCTTACAGATTATTGGATGTTTTTCCTGAAAGGTGTTTATATATTTGTAATTCCCAATTATATAATTCCCAATTATATAATTCCCCACTTCAGGCGCCCTCAATTTACATTTGTGAGACCATGAGTGGTAAACAGAGAAACTCGTCTCAAATGACAGAGAGAAACCCCCCGGCCAGGGGTGAAATGAGCTGTAGGAAGCTCAGCTTTCATGGGGTTCCTTTAGAATTATCTGCTCAGAGGAGGTGGGAAAATGATCATTTCTGACTCGGGTTTTAGCTGTTCCGGACCAGGACAAGCCTCCTCTCAGGGTCTGAGTGCAATGGGGGCATCTGGACCCCAAGTTACTTTTTAGAAGAGGAAGAAAATCTCTTACTAGTGACTACGATTTCTTCTTCATGTTCCCCGTCCAACAAAGCTTTTAGCAGCAAATATGATACAATGCTAACTTCTATAGACTCCTTCTATTTACAAAGTAGTTTTACATTTTATTATATTCCATTGTACAACTTTACACAGTACCGTTCCAATTCCCATTCATAGTTCAACAACTCAATACCTAGTTAGATGGTTTTCCATGTCCTGTTACACGTTTAGCTTTAAAAAAAAACACAGTAGAAAAGAAGCACAGTGGTGCAGTGTCCAGGCACTTCAATGTTGCTCAACAAAAGAAGCAAGCACCCTGTTTGAAAGCATGGCAACTTTGGGGGGAAAAAAGAACTGCATCTTTGCTCATCATGGATTCCTTGAAGCATCCTTCGTACAGTTCCACTTATTCCTGAGAAAGCTCTGTGAAATAGGAGTGCTATGTCTATATTTCAGCAGTGGGTCTGAGTGAACAGTAACTTCCATCCCCAGATGTCCCACTGATGGCACAGAAGACATGGAGGGAGTCGTGCATCCAGGGCGAATGCATCGTATCTGCGTGGTAGATCTAGAGGAAACAGAAGAATTAGAGCTTCAGGAAAGGCTCCAGGTCACGATTGCAATGCAGGTATTTGAAAAGATATGCAAAGGAAATAGCCAACCTTGTCTTCAGAGCTGTTTCACAAAGGCAGCGTAATAGAGAAATGAGAAAGAAGAATGAAGCAATTTCTGTAGCATTCATATACACATTATTGCGTCCTACTGGATCAGTTTTAGTTACAACTCTATAGGAAAGAAACAATTCTCTGTAGAGCAATAATTTGCTGTATCTTTGCAGTAAGAGAACTCTGGGTTGTTTTTTTTGTAAGCACAGGGGGTAAATGCAGCTAAATACAGCACTCACTGCATCTGTGCCATGTGGCAAGGCCCTGTACTTTATAACCTGAAGGACGGGCTTACAACACAGGATCTCACTGGAGTGGAGGAACTGCTCTAGAGTGACTGCATTTGTGTTTCACCCTGTGATTCAGCAGGCAGCAGGTCGGTCAGCCTCAATGTGTGACATTAGGGAAATGGAGCTCATTGGCCATTGTAACCAGTTTCTGGACATCCAGCTTCCTGCCAGCCTCTGAGCTTCCTGCACCTCTTCAAAATGGGAATTTTGCCAGAGAGTTTCAATCTTGCCACAGGATTCTTGTGATGCACAAAACGTGAGGCAAAACACGGCACAGGACTCTGGGGGGCTGCAGCACCAGGAAACTCATGGCTTGTGTCAGCAGAGCCTCCACCCCGAAGCACACCGTGTACCAACACCAGGCTGAGATCGCCCATCAACAGATGGTGTTTGGAACCCACCAAGTCTATCATTTACTTTTCAAGTTCAGTTACTCGCCTTCTGCATTTAGCTACATAACACAAAGAGCAACCAAGTTTTCAGCTAGTTTTCAGCGCGAGTTACCAAGCACAGAGAGCGCCTCTGTGGGCTCCTGACGTGCAGTACTTGCCTGTTCGTGGATGATGTCAGAAAGCTCTTTCACCATATCCCGAAAGTTTGACTTGAGCCCCTCATGGTACTCCACTTGATCCTCCTTAATGAGTCGCTCGTTGAGCTCCAGAGCAATTCCACAGGCTTGTATAAACTTCCTGAGGAGGAAAGCAGTGAACTTCAGCCATTAAAATAGCCCAGTCTTCTACAAAAGCAAGCAACCAAACAGATGGCAAGTTTCATCCCCCCCTCCCCTTTTTCTCCAGTGTTTGGGAGAACCACAGACTGGTTTGGGTTGAAAGGACCTGGGTGAAATGGGAGACACCAGCACCAGGATCTTTATAAGGCACATTTAAGCATTCAGCATCTGATTTTGGAGACAGGACTATAAGCAAAGTGGGTACCATGTTCCAGCCAGGTTTTATTACATCACAAATCCTACCTGAACATTTCTTTTAAGTCATTCACCTTCTTAGTAGGGTATTTGCTGGACTGGCTGTCACTTAGGAAAGCTCTGGCATAGGCCAAGGGACCAGCATTAACCTAGAACCAGAGAAGGCAGAAATCATTTATGGTAGAACTTGTGCTGAGTTGCTAAAGGCAGTTGTGAAGGGAACAACAATATTAAGAAATCCACCACAAAACCAATCTCAGCATATTATTTGCATGCCACCAGCTCTGCATTACTAATGTAACCAGAGTGTTAGTTTTCCTATGCTTTTTAAGACCAAAAGATAAATGGAGATAAAAAGAGAGGTGGAACCTGGTTCCTCATACTTACCTCCTAGTTCCATTTGGGATGGCAGTTTGACCTGAGCCTTAAGGTCATCTATCCATCTTGAAAATTCAGGCACACAAAAAGGCTATTTGTGCCTGATACTGACCATACAATCTCCAAGAGTTAAGTGTATTTCAGCTTTCACCCATGGCCAACCAATGACAAAATGCTTATTGCCATGAGCCTCCTGCTAACACACTGCTGTATGCGCAGGACAAGCTGTGCTTGTGTTTGCTGTGGTGCTGCAAACAAGGTAGTTAATGAGTTCTGGACAGTAAAAGTGCTGTGTCATGAGAAGATGACTCCCTGAGTCATCTTACAACTCCCTGAGTCAGCTGTAACTGGGATTTTGGATGAGCATCAAGCCTTACCTGCACAGAAACACAGCCTTGCAGTTTGAGTTGCAGCTGGATCATGTCAACATCACCGGCGGAGCACAGCTTCTGCAGCTCTGCTGTCTTGTCTTTTATCTCATCAGCAGCCACATCGATTGGTTTTAAATTAACCTGGTGTTCATAATTGACTGGAATCCTCTTCTTTACATACGGAAAGGAGTTCAAAGCTAGTAGGAACAGCAAAGGAATTATAGATTGAAAAGTCATGCAGCACTGGGGAAAACTCTTCGTGGAACACACACAAGCAGATCCTTGTCCTCTGGGTTTTACTTGGTGTGTGTGAAATCCTGAACAAGACTATTTTACCAGCATGATTTGTTATTTTATGACCATTTACACATAAGGCAAATTCCCCTCCCAACCAGAATATCGTAGCATGGATCTGATTAAACAGCTGAGAGAACTTCTGACTCTTTCGGGATATTTTAATGAGCTTAACCAGTCTAAAAATAGTGGCTGATACAGACTCACATTCGTACTTACTCGTTAAAATGGTCCTTTTTTTACACTGCTCTTCCACACTGCCATGCTTTTTTCCAGATAAAGTGTAGGGAGTTTCAAATACAAATCTATTGATGTTATGGTTTCTTTCAAATTCAGTCTTTCTTTCAGACATCTCTTTGTCTTCAAAATAGGGCTTCACGTAAGTCACTTGAATATGGGCATACTTGGGATCGAGGTCTTTAATGTTGACCTGTGAAATAAGAGGGTTACTCGCTAGAAGAACGAAGATTAATAACTTGACTTACAATTGGTTAATGTGGGGTGTGATTTAAACTGATTCCTTGCTGACTCAGCTCCATTGCATGCCGTGCATCACACACCAAACACTCCTTCTGACCCCAGCCGTGATGTCTAGACCATCCACTACCAGACACACAAGACAAGGAGGTTGGGCACAAGAAATACCTCATCTGCAACAGGTAGCCCTATCACCTTGTCCATCAATGCAGCACATGCCTGTGCTATTCAGTCCTTCTAGTATGACCATATTGCTTCCAGACCATAAATTAGCACTCCTACAGTGCTGTGCTGTGGCATTCAAATCTGCAGGCTTGCCCAAAGCAAGCTTTGGGATCACCAGCATTGTCTTTGGTAACCCAGACACATCTGGGGCTGCAAGATAAGGGTGCGAACAGCCCTTGCAGGGAGCATAAATGGGTATTCCATAGGAAGAGGAAGGAGCTAAGGCTGCAAGGCCCCAAAAGATTTTCTTTCAGCCTTGCAGTGTCAAAGCAACAACAATTCCACTTCCAATCATCTGCTCCTCTGTGCTTCCCAACAACACAGCTCAAGGGAGATGTGGATTGCCATTTCCCATTCATAATTCCCAATTCATTTCTTTCCTCCAGGGTGCCAGATCAGCACCAAAACTTGTCAAACTGTGCAATATGTCCACACAGGAGCACAGGGATGACAGGAGCAAATGGAAGCAAGGTGCTTGTAAGAGGGTGGAAGAGAGGGCTCACAGAATGGTTTGGACTGGAAGGGACCTTAAAGCTCACCCAGTTCCAACCCGTGCCACGTAATATGGCCCTGACGTTCACCACTAATCGCATTTCATCAGCTTGTTCATGCACTTGAACTCTACCTTGTTAGAATCCTGGATAATCTTTACAGTCTCCGACCCAAATTTTTCTCCATAAAGTTTAAGAAGCCGGAATGAGATCTCCGAGAGGCCCGTCAGCTTGGGTTCTTTATAGATGTACTCCTTCCCATCTTCTTCTTCAAAGAACGTCTAGCATTAATCACAAAGAGGTAGTGAGGAATCACTGGGTTTCTTTGCTTGGAAAACTGTATTTTAGACTTCCTACTTTGAAAGCAAGTTTCCACTGGCATTTCAGAAAGCGAAGAAGGTTCAGAAGGCTACAGCTTGCTCTCACTGAGCTTCGCCTTTCAATGGGTTCCTTTAGATTAGCGTAAAAAAGCCATGAATTTCCTCAGCCAACACATCATTGCAGAACACAAAGGCTGGAGGATGACCAGAGAGCAATATAAACACTGTGGAAGCTGGGTTTGGCCAGCACTTGACTTTGTGGAAGGATGGAAAGAGGCCAGCAGGAGAAAACCCACAAAAATAAGGCATAGGGAAGGAGCGGAGAGACATGTAAGTGGAGGAAGCCCTGATAGCAGAGCCATGTGAACAGTCTGAAGGATTTTGTGTAGGCTAAAGGCACTTGAAGCAGTAAATAAAGAAATGGGTTTCCTCTGCTTTGATTCCTCTTGTATTCAGGGAAGTGGAACTTGGTGTATTTGCTGTAGAGACAAAATTGCATTAAAGGTTGTGCCTGCATCACCAGTCCTTCCTGTATTGGGAACAGCACGAAAGCTTCATGCTTTGGCAAGCTGCTCCCATCGGAAGTTGTGACAGAGTGTTAAAACTATGTCTGTGTAGCTGGCGTATAAAGCTGGCAAAGCTTTCAAGTGCAAAAGTGGATCAAGTGCTGGTTGTCAGGATGATCCGTTGCTGAATTTTAGGGGCTGATCCAGTTATTTCTACAGCTTTTAGAAAACTAAGCTAGCAGTTGTTTCCTTTTATCTATCGTTAACCTCATTCACTTTTCACATACCAGTCAAAGATGAGGACAAAAATAAAAGGTATGTTTGCTGCAGCAAAAGTCAATGCTCCAACATGCTGTGCATGTAATGACAGCGGTGTTCAAAGGTACCAGCCTAAGATGGTTTCAGGGGTATTAATCACCTGCTTTAAAAGAAGGAATGAGGAAAGACAGAGCTAATATAATTTACACAGTATTTCTAAAGAGGGGTCCTGCATCTCACCCATGGTTACAGGTCCAAAAGCAGATAGTTCAGAGACACAAGGGAGATGAGGGTAAGGCACTTTATTAGATTAACTGCTACAGCTGGAGGAGAAAAACAAAAGCACAACTCCTTTCAGGTTCAGGAGACTTCATCAGGCAGAAGATCATGCTGCTTCTCGGGACACTGAGCCCCAGACCTTGGCCACTTTTTCCAGCTACCTCAGTTAACAGAAATACTCTCTCTACACGTATACAACCAATACTGCCTCCAGCTTCTCCAATAACCTTTTACTCCACTAATACATAGAAAAAAGCAGCAATTGTCTGAAGAAGAAAACGTCTGTAGAAGAAAATGTTATTACTACTATTTGTACACAGTGGTTACATACTGTGACTGGTACACTCTACACACGCTAAATTGTGTTTGTGTAGTTTATAATAACTATAATTACAGTCACCACCACTGAACCCATTAAGCCATTTCCTACCTGCTGAGGTGTTCTATGGGAAGCCCATGAGCAGAATCATAAACTACAATAAATCAACTGCTCCCGGAGAGACACAAACCCTCAAGGGTGGAACATGGAAGCGTTCACAATGATGCGCCAGTGCCTGCTCCAGAGGAGCCAACAGGCTTCCCAGCTCCAGGTCTGGCAGAGCAGCAGCTTTAGGGAATGCCTGGTGAAGGGTGACTGGTGAGTGGGATATGTACTTACTTGTCCATAAAAGGCCACCCTAAAAAAGGTTCCAAGAAGCCTCTTCCTGGTATGCATGACTTCCAATATCTTGGCGTATGCTCCATGAAGCGTTCTGTACAGCTGGGTTAGTTTCTGGAAATCGGATTTTGACATTGTTAAAGCAGGATTTTGCAAGCAGAACATCCTAGCCGACACTGGCAGCTTCTGAGAGATCTGATCACGGCCCTTTGGAGAATTCAGATGTGGATTTCAAAGGAGGTGGAACACTTGCAGTGTTCTTTGAAAAACCTCAGTCTTAAGCACATGCTCAGCTCCAGGTCTGAGAGGAGCTGCAGGCTGCAGCTATCCTGAGGGAGTAGGCTGAGCCTGCTGTCCCTGCATGCCCCCGACCAAGCCTTCACGGGTAGAGCAGCCTGCAGTATTTTACCCAGATACCCGGTTTTGATCAAAACCGGATGAAGGCTTCCACTAACTTCAGCTGTACAGCTGGATCCTGCCCTGGTGTGGAGGGGGTCATGGGATAAGGGAAGGAAAGAGGAGTACAGCAGCCTCCCCAAAGCACAGGTCACAGCAGGCACCGGGGAGGAGCAAGGTGAAGGGCTGGGAAAGCTTCCTTCCCTCCTCCCCAGTTGCATGGAATTACCTGCAGATCTAGTCCTTTCTTTGAACACTCCACCGTGCTTTTAACTCTTAAAGTCTTCACGTCTCAAAGAGAACCTGGCTTTGACGAGCACAGGGTATGATGACAGCTTTGTTTTAGGTGAAGGAAGGTGGGAATTATTCACTAAATACAAGTCTTGTGTGTCTTTAGCTGTAACAATCACCCTCCAGACCACTGCTTTCGCTCATGTGTTTAGTGACCAGCAATGAAGCGCGACGTGGGCGTTACTGACATCAATTCAGTGACTCATAGCATCAAAAATACAATAGCCTCTTGCATTTTTTCTGAGGGATCTAGAAAATTACCTTATATCATAGAATCACAGAATGGTTCGGGTTAGAAATGACCTTAAGGTCATCCGGTTCCAATCCCGGATGATGGAACACAGGGACACTTCACCCTAGACCATGTCTGTTTGCATACCTGCAAACTAGTTCAAAACACTCACCTCAAACTCACGCCGCTTCTCGTAAATAGGAATGATCAGTTTGGACACTTCAGAAATGGTTTCATACCGCTCTGCTTTCCACAGGCCATCCACACATTGCTCCAGCAGCTCCACCAGCACTTCCTACGAGAGCAGCCGAATGGTGGTGTTAGTAACAGTCCAAGTTAGAAGGGAAAACCATTGTATTCTCAGTTTCTTTAACAGGTCCCAGTACAAGCAGCCACAGCTATAGCCCATGGTCTGGCTTTTCCAAAGGGAAGGAAACAAAAGATAAAAAAGGACAAAAGGAGAAGTTATTTTTTGGAAGTTCCTTTATTCTTTATTATCACTGCACAGGAGCCAGCAAGTGTGCCTTGGTTATTTAGCTTCCTCCCCAGGGAAACACCAAAGCTCTGGGAGGGTATGGAGATGGCAGCACTGGAAGTCAGAAGTAGGTATCTGAGCAACACGTCCAAGAACAGGTGTGCACCAGCAGTGGGCTGTGATGCTAAGGATCCTCAAGCCTAGTCTTGATGAATGGGCAATGGGGCAGCTCAGCCATGTGGCCCCCCCAGCGCAGGGGTAAAGGCATGGTACAAGAGTCATTGTGAGGCTTTCTGACTCACGGGACAGTCTAGCCACTTCCTCAATGCCTTGCTGTGGTTTCTGGGCTGTTCTGCTAATGTGGTGTCCTGCAGCACAGCCCTAGCTTGAGGGGAACACAAGACGGGCTGCTCAGCCTGGAGAAGAGAAGCTGCGTGGAGACCTCAGAGCAGCTTCCAGTGTCTGAAGGGGGCTACAAGGATGCTGGAGAGGGACTCTTCATCAGGGACAGTAGCAATAGGACAAGGGGTGATGGGTTCAAACTGAAACAGGGGAGATTTAGGTTGAATGTAAGGCAGAAGCTCTTCCCTGTGAGGGTGCTGAGGCGCTGGCACAGGGTGCCCAGAGAAGCTGTGGCTGCCCCATCCCTGGCAGTGCTCAAGGCCAGGTTGGACACAGGGGCTTGGAGCAAGCTGCTCTAGTGGAAGGGGTCCCTGCCCGTGGCAGGGGTTGGAGCTGGAGGCGCTTTAAGGTCCCTTCAACCCAAACCAGGCTGGGGTTCTGTGATTCTATAAACCCTCACTCAGTAAAACCTGACTTGTATGTTGTCCCTCCTTGGCAATACTGTGCCACACTGCTCTGTGCTGGCACAATTAGCACCCGCAAAGCACGGTAGGCAAAGATTCTTGTGCAGCTTCTCCAGTCTCAGTGCTAGAAAAAGCTTTTAGTAGAAAGAGCTTTTAGTAGAAAAGCTTTGCAAAGAAACCAAGAACCTTCACCAGTTCTGTATTGTACACAGAAAATCCCTCAAAGCAGATTTCTCTTGGGAAATTGCTGGGAAGCAGCTTTCCTTACAGACGTCAGTGCCCAACTGTAATTTGTAACAGCTTGCACAAACAAAGTCTAAAACAATCACAGAATCCCTCTACTCCATGATGCCCTCATGGAACGAGCCTGCACTGGAGCTGATCACCTCAGTGAGTGACCCATCCTACCCAGCTGCCCAATATCCCCTGCTCCATACTACAGGACCTCACCTCACTGTAATGTACGTCCATCATCCCACCGTCTTCTTTCATTGCGCCTTCTTCATCAATGTTGGGAGTGATTTTCCTGAAGGCAGCGCATCCACTGGGGAAGAGTTCTGTAGTGGACAAAAGCACATGGATTAGTGGAATAACATAGCCCAAATGCATCATGCTTTAATGGCTGGGAAGCAGTCTGGCTGACAGTGAAGTCCTACAAGCAGCAGTGGACTTGACTCTCATTTTACTATTGAATGTATGAGACTGAACACAACAGAACCACCGCAGCCATTTGCCACGGGAGTCATTCCTAGCAACTAACACCAAGCACAACAGGTTTCCCTGGATCAGGAATCCCCAACCTACCCAGCTGCAACCAACTGAAAGTCATGAAGAACACAGGTGTATCTTTGCACAGAAGATGCAAGAATCATAGAATCAGCTAGTTTGGAAAAGACCTTTAAGATCATCAAGTCCAACCATCGCCCCAGCACTGCTAAAGCCATCACTAACCCATGTTCCTAAGGGCATTGTCTACATGAAGAACAAAGCTATTGCGGGATGCTGGAGAGCTGGGTGGGAAGTGAACAGGACTGTACACTCCTAGCAGAAAGCACAATTATGTACCCTTTCCTGAACCCTTTTCAGCCTACATAAACGTAAAGAGCACCAGTGACAGAGAGAACTCAGCGTATACACTTGTTATTCCTTTGGATTTGTTCCTCTTCCTTTTTAGCAGTTCTCCTTTACCACTGGTTGTGGTAAGCAGCCTCCAGGGGACAAATAAAGAATTACCAACAATACTCTCCCTTCTGCAGCCAATGAAGTGTGCAGAGGGATCAGAAAAACCAGTCCTGAGTTTTCACACTTTGCCAACACAAAGTACAGGATTTGGAGGGACTCCAAAGGTGCCCGAAGCCACCTGAGCAAAGCACTTCAGACCCTTCCAGTCAAGGCAGTGCATGCACTCAATGGGCTTTTACGCAGCCTTAACTTTCTGAAAGGTGAAGTGTCCGTGTCAATAATCACACCCTTACATGCAAATGAGAAACGGGGTCAATACATCAGCTGGGGAACAGACATTTAAAAGAAATCCTGCAGAGTGGTGTTACTTGAGAACCCACAAGCCTGCCCTGTCCCTCCTGCTTTGCATCAAATCACAATACTCTCCTCCTTCCTTAGTATTCTTTACCTATTTGTATTGTTAAGGCTATAGTAGTATTTTTTGACTGCATTTTGACTGCTTTACTCTAGTTTTCTATACTGCCTCTGGTGACACTCCTGATGAACATATTGACAGCCGGTTTTTAACATGGGCTTCCCCTCGTGAGTACAGTTCCCAATATAAACCACAACAACATTTAAACGAAGACATGATGTGTCAGTTTGTATTTCACTCAGCAACATGCCAACATGACTGCCTAAGCGGTCCTGGCCAGCCTAGTAAATGCCTGTATACACACCATTGGATTCCCTCTTCAAAAACACTCATCCTTTTCTAGCTTTACCCACTGGTTAGTTTGTTTCTAACATAATCATTTACCAACAGAGGAGAAACTTGTCTTTAACAAGATTCTGATCCCCCAAACCCCATCAAACCTTCCAAGCACCACACACTTACTTTTTCTGTGCAGGAACTCGGCAACGAGGGCTGCGACGTGAACGTAACACATGGCTGCCTGCAAAGGACAAAGGAAAATCAACGTGTAAGCTGTGCCTCTGGCTTGCTGGGTAACACCATGGGTTTAATTCCAGAATCACCTCTGAGAAGTCTCCGTTTTTCACATGGATCTTTGCCATGCTGTCCAGCCACGTTTTCCGGAGCTCTGGGGTACTCGCGTAAGACTTGGCTAAACTGTACTGCAGATCTATCAGCATTTCTGGATCCTTTTCATGTTCTTTCATCTGAGCAGTAGCCATGAGCACTGTACGGATTCTCTTTGTCAAATCTTTGACTTCGGAAGGAAAAGCAGTTGCCTGACACAAAACAAATCCAATTAGAAGCAAGTACTGAAATAAGAGGGGAAATTGAGCTGAGCTCTTAGGCAGAAGCTCTTCCCTGTGAGGGTGCTGAGGCGCTGGCACAGGGTGCCCAGAGAAGCTGTGGCTGCCCCATCCCTGGCAGTGTTCAAGGGCAGGTTGGACACAGGGGCTTGGAGCAAGCTGCTCCAGTGGAAGGGGTCCCTGCCTGTGGCAGGGGTTGAAACTGTTTGAGTTTTAAAGTCCCCTCCAACCCAAACCAGGCTGGGGTTCTGTGCTGCAGCAATGCAGGTATTTTGGCATCCTGAGGAGCTGGTGCGAGAGCAAGACAGAAGTGCTCTGTGCATGTAAAACAACATAAATGGATGGGACCATAACCCATGCCTGAAATATTTTCCATGTTATTCAACATCCGCTTGTTAAGTCTCTGATGTGGTCACTCTCCAACTCCTAAAGTAGAGAAAGCATTTGTAGAGGTTCCCACCACAGGAATGTAATAAATAGAGAATGAAAGAGGCTCCAGACTGACCCCCTGCTCAGAGCTGGACGATCATCAAGATAAAGCAAGCTTGTCCAGCCAAGTTTGATCATCTCCAAGGACAGTAATCCCACCTCCTTTCTGGGAACTAATTCTTTTCCAGTCTTTAAGTAAAGTTGGACTTTTCTTCGCAGCAGCTTGTGCCCATTGCCTCCTGTCTTGACACTCCCCACCTCTGAGAAGAGCCTGACCTCCTTGTCTCTGTAACCTCCCTTTTGGTAGGGGAAAGCAGCAGTTAGGTCCCCCTCAACTTTCTCTCCTCTGTGATGAGCCTGGTTGACATTCACCTCTCCTTGGGCTCCTGCTCCCCTGCTGTATCTGTAAGCTGTTCATGGCATCCTTTCCGGTGTATTGGAATCTCTCTTGTACTCTTGCACTTACATGAACTGGATATAATGGCCTTGCAGTGTAAAATATGAGTAGCAAAGTATGGCTCAGTGAAACCCTTATAGGCATCATTGTCCAGAAGAGAACAGAGGGGTTTGCCAGGTATATCCTACCTATAAATTCATTATAGAACAATTCAGCACCTACAGAACGTTCCCATCCCATGTGTGCAGTGTTGACACATTGTTCAGTGGGCTGGGTAGAAGCTGCTCATTCTAGCACAAAGACAATTCTTTTCCAAAGAAATACAACCATTAGTCTCCCTGAAAGAGTGCTTTCTTAATCTTGCTGACACTCAATTAATGAGCATTAATTCCTGCTAATTATTACCCTCAGGCAACAGAAGGACCAGGCTCTCCTGTGTCACTCCTCTCAAAGCTGGAAGTTCTTGGAAAGCTCTCTGGCCACCCTTGCAAGCAGAACACTTTGCCAAGTGTAACCTGATTGCAGAGCTCCTTCATCTTGGTGTGAGGCCACAGGGATAGAGCATAACCTGCCTGTGCAGCTGGCCCTATCACTGGTGGCGTAATACTGGTTTACTGAGCAAACACAGCCCACAGGAGCTCATAAAGCATAGTTCCAATCATCAGCTTTACCCTTAAACACAATTTCCTTGAGTGTGCCCCAGCCTTTCATTAAGGCTGATAGCACATGGTGTGATTTAATGTCTCCAACTTACCTTCATGGGCCTGTCACTGTTTGCAAAGTTGTTAATGATGAGCAAGGAGTCCTGAAACCTTGTCCCACCGCTGAGGGCCACATCCGCTATTAACTGGCTCACTGCAATTATGATCTGTTGGGACAGGGTGGGGACTTTATTTAACAGCCCTAATAGAGGAGTTTTATTGTCACAGTTATACAAAATGCTCCTAGGAAAACATCGCGTCTTTCCCACAACGCAAGCGATGGTTGTTGTGGCTTTGCTGTCACATCTCCCCAGGACAAATACTCCCCAGAGGACTCTACTTTGCTGAGCAGTGAGTTCACAATTAACAACAGCACAGTCGTAATGCAAATCCCTGTTTGGACATCAGTCACTTTCCCCTGCGATTCACTGCAACACAGACGACATTCATCTGCCTCACTAGATGGCTAAATTTGCTTCAAAAACTCAGTGCTGCAAAAGCAGCTCCAGGAAAACCCCTTCTCCTGCCTCAAAGGCAGCTTTTCCCTCTGCTTTCCACCTCAGCCCAGCCAGCGTCTGGGGCAGAGATGCACCTTGTGTCTGCGAGTCCAAAAACCCAACAGCTTGGAGCCCTTTGGCAGCGGATTTCACCCAATCACTTGGATCAGGAATTAGGCAAAGCCTGGAAATCAAGAGGATTTTTGGCCATATACCAAAAGCAAGATCCTTTGCAGACATGAGGCGACACGGTTGTATTGAGCTATCCGGTCATTAAGCCCGCTGTGTCCTGTTGTCCTGCTTCTCCCCAGTCACTGACCTGAAGATGCGTTCTCAGAAATGTTCTCCTTTTGGTGAACTCAAAGTTGTTTCTCATCAGGAGGTAGAGAAGAGCGGAGGCCTCGTTCCTCGTGGAGGACACCTTGGAAGTGCAGCACTTGAGGATCTCGTAGCAGAGGGCAGCACACATGTTCACCCTTCCCTTGAAAAACGCTGAGGGGAACTTCACAAGAGGCATGCAAACGTTAGGAAGGACACCTTGGAAACACTGAGCCACGCTGCCCTGTGCTGGCAGAACTAGCATCTACGTAACACGGCAGGCAAAGGTTCTTGTGTAGCTTCTTCAGTCCCAGTGACAGACAAGCTTTTCAACGAAACCAAGAACTTACACCAGTGCTACCTATACACATAGAAAATGGAGAATCCCTCTTGGGAAATTGCTGGGAAGCAGCCTTCCTTGCATGTGCTAGTGGCCAACCCAATAGGTTTTTAAGAAGCCCCATGGAAAACGTCTCATAGGAGACCCCACTGTCTGGAGGCAGGCAGGTAGTCAGCAAAATTGCATTTCTGCTTCCCATGTCTTTGCTTAGGACAAACCAAAGTTCAGCCCTACTCATACTCATTCTAGCTCTATTCTACTGTGTTCTAGTATAATTCATACTCATACAAACCAAAGTTCAGCCCTACTCATACTCATTCTAGCTCTATTCTACTGTGTTCTAGTATAATTCATACTCATAGCAGCGCTTAGCTTCACTGTGAGGTTACAGTAAAATGCACATGGCACAGATAGCTTCCACCCTTGAAAAACAGTTTAGCAGTCTCTCTAATCAAACTTTGCCCAGCAACTAGTGCAAGACTTCATTTGGAAGTAACACTTTGCTGTTACCATTCACCACTGTGCTCTTCCTGGCTGCAATCACATGCCACGCGGATTTAACTCATTAATGATGAGCCGCATTCAAGCGATTTGAGAGGCTGTAATTCCTTTTGAATTTATTAGAACTGTGCAGCTGGGGAGGAATGGAGCCTGCACGCACATCTGGTCTTGAAAAGGTGCTTGTAAGAACCAGCAGGTTTTGACAAGCACGAAGGGAAATGTCAGCAATAGCATCAGTCAGTGCTCTTACGTGCTTAGCTGCGGCTTTGACGCTGCTTGAGCTCAGGGGATTAAAGAGCCATGTACCAGGGCTCAGAAAAGGGTAGAAAGAGGTTCAGGAAGTCTTATCCCTCTTTCCCATGCAGTGGGAGAGGAGCGGCTTGTCAGCACAAGTATCACTCAAGCAATAGCACTGTCAGCAATAGTGTCAGTTCAGGGCAAAGATGCAAGAAGCACCAGCTTTTGGTCAAACAGATGTTAAATGTTTAACAGCAGTTAAAGTGATAGGGGCAGGTGAGGGGAAGTTTAAAAGGAGATTAAGTGCACTGCTCTCTTCTATCATACCTATATAAATCGTCCTGTCCCTCTGGAGTCATGTCTTACAAGCCTTGCTAATACGTATTACACACCTTGCTAATGAAAGCTCTCAGAGAGGCAAACACGTGCTTAAGAGCTGCTTCTGACTGGCCATTTTTGAGAAAAGCCAGATGAATATCGAAAACCTTCTTCATGAGGGCATTGTGGCCATCGTTGCTTAAAAGCTGGGTCTGGAAAGCAACAAGAGTTTATGTCACAGAAATGTGTCTGAAGCTGGAAGGGACAGAGAGAACTTTGTATGATTAATCACATCCATTCTTAAGGCAGATAAGGAACAGTAAAAACCATTTATTAATGTGATGACCAGAACAAACCTGCACTGGCTGGTCAGAGACTACTTTTATAGCAGAGAATAAACCACAAAAGGATTTGCTGTTGTAAAGCCTCCTATAATGTGGCACTCGAGGAGAATGGATCACCACCATCAACATGCAGACAGAGATACAGCCACTTCCCTACAATACTTTTGGTTTCAATGCTGACCTTGAAACTCTGGGTGAAGAAAGAGATGGTGTCCAGGACTGTGAGGCACACTTCAGTGGCAATATTGCCCTCCAGCAATGCTTGGTGCACGATATCTGCTTCTGAGGTGCCGGCATCTGTGGATGGAAAGCAGATCAGGAGAAAATGGTGTTCAACCCTCCAGCTCTCACAGTATCTAAATGCTGATATAGGTAAGTTTCTCCCCTTGCACTTCACTTGGGAGATGAGGTAAGAATCCCAAGAGGCTGAATTCCCCAGCTCCAGTCAGAGGAGCTGCCTGATGCCAACCAAGAAAACCAATGTTGGCATTTCCCCTTAATCTCACTGCCTTTAAAGCCAGACAGAGAACTTGGTGTCTAAGTTGTACCCGCAGAGGGGAAGTGGTGAGCTGCTTAACTGGGACAAAACTCAGGGGAGGCTTAGGGCAGATGGTGGCCCAGGTCCTTGTGTGGGGCAGCTCTCCCCTGCTCACCACCCACACCGTGGTCACCTGAACCACACTCAGCCCAGGAGCTGAGCCAAGACAGGCAAGAGGAAAAAGCCACACAAGCCCTATGTCCCAGGGGGGATTTTTAAGGGGCTGGCTTAAATATCACCCACACCAGTTCAGGAATGTTGCAGGGAGGAGCAGTGACCGCTGTCATTGCGCACTCTCAACAGCCTGAAGCAATGAGCAATGGGTGCATGCAGCTTTCAGCAGGCTACCTCCCTGCCATACGTACTGTGGTTGAGCGTGAAGGAGGTCTCCAAGCTGCCCAGATGCTGGAGCCGCACCTGCATCCCCCCTGCTCTGCTGCGGAGCGCCGGCATCGTCTGGGATTTCCTCTCGGCTCCCGTGTGCTTGGACAACCAGGCATCGTGCACCCTGCGAGGGGAGGTGAGCACTGTGGGCTGGGATGAGGGGCAGGATGACATGCGGCACCAGGACAGAGACTGGCCTCCCTCCAACACACTCATCCGGTTTATCCCAGACAATCCCATGGCACTGACGAGGCTGCCCCGTCTCTCCCACACCCGCTGGCCCTGGAGCTACGGGCACAGCAGTGGGGCTGCTCGGGAGCCGAGGCTCGTGTCTCACCTGCAGCTCACCGCAGGGGATGCTGCCAACCTGTGCGGGCAGCCGGGAGCGCCAGGGCTGGGGGCTCTCATGCAGGAGCTGGAGGGGAGGGAAGCGGCAGGAAGGATGAGGGAATGCTACTGGCATGGTGCTGAGCAGAGCCCCGGCCCCGCAGGCTTCCTGCCTGCCCTGGTTTGCCTGGCTTCTTCGGCCTCAGCAGGGAGCATGGGGACAGCCCCCCAGCCTGGGTGGCAGAATACAGTACCTGGCAATATTTCTCTTCCCCATGTATCTGAAGTGAAACAAACACACCCTAGAAAGAAAACAGAATATGGACCTGTTACAGATCCTGTGGATCAGGAACATCCACAACACCTAAAGGGGCTCCAGGAAACCTGGAGAGGGGCTTTGGCCAAGGGCCTGTAGGGACAGGCCAAGGGGAATGGCTTTAACCTGCCCGAGGGGAGACTGAGATGAGCTCTTAGGCAGAAGCTCTTCCCTGTGAGGGTGCTGAGGTGCTGGCACAGGGTGCCCAGAGAAGCTGTGGCTGCCCCATCCCTGGCAGTGCTCAAGGGCAGGTTGGACACAGGGGCTTGGAGCAAGCTGCTCTAGTGGAAGGGGTCCCTGCCCGTAGCAGGGGTTGGAACTCCATGATCTTTAAGGTCCCTTCAACCCAAACCAGCCTGGGATTGTGTGGTTTAAAATACACCCTTGTCCTTGTCAGCAGACACACTCCTCTGTGCATGAAGGTTTGGGTCTGTATTTACACGTCACTTGACCCCACACTCTTGGTTTCCAAACCCTATGGCACATCCCTGTCTCCTCAGCCATCTGTCCCACAAGCCCATGCAAAGCAGAGGCTATGCCCAGAGCCTGCTCACCCACGGGTCGTGGGACACCCTCTGACAGCCCGGACCGAGCACAGGGCACTGCCACTGCACCCCGCTCCCTCCATACACACCCTTCCTCCTCATGGGGAGGAACAGCATTTCCTTACACCCTGGCTGCACACCCCAGTGCTGCAGAGGACTGCGCATCCTGAGGGACACCCTGCGCTTGTGCCTTCTTGGACAGTGCTGCCCACAGGAAAGCACAGTGTTTGAACTGCAACCTCATGATACTCACTCCAGAAGCACAAGGACATTGATCAGCTCTTGGGGGGAGAATTTGTTCCAGTAAGCTAAAAGAGTATCTGAAAGAGAAAAGCCCACAGTGTACTACGATGTAAAACAAATCAAAGGGGGACCTTACAGACCAGAGCTGGCAGCTGCCTCTTGTCTTTTGGGCTGCCCCCCCAGGTGAGCAAGAGCCACCAACCTTCAGAGATCATCTTCACAACGTAGAGGTAGCACATCAGGAGCGTCCGGATCTCAAACTGGTCCAGCCGGCTGCAGTGAGACACGCTGCTCCTCGTGGAGCTCCTGCGGATCTGCTGGGACACGGAGGTGACATGGAACCAACGGCCCTATTGCCCGGGCTGTGCCTGAGCACGGCACCATGCACCGTGGGCACAGCAAACCATGCGTGCCAGCATTCCTCCTGCCCCCCTGCACAGCACCACGCTTGGGAGACATCTCACCCAGTGATGAGCAGTCTGGAAACCCTGGACACGCGGCCAAGTGCTTCTCTGCCCAGAAAAGGGATGCCTGGGCAGAGGACACTGGCTTATCCAGCAAAACACGGGTCAGCCCCATCAGCCCCGCGTTCACTGCCCTGCTCCTGTCCGCAGTGTCTGAGCTCCTGGGCAGTTTTAAAGTCAGTTCTTGTCAAACAAAACAGTTCCTCAGCTGTCATGGTTTGAAGCAAGAATCTTCACTTTCTGTTAAAGATGTACACCTAAACCCAACAATGCCAAAAAGCTCTCAAAAACCTGGGAAATTTCAGCTTGAGAAATACATCAGCTTCTTAAATCTATGATGCTGAAGAGGGACTCTTCATCGGGGACTGATGTGAAGAAGTGAAATCCTGCTGTTGGTCCAATCCATGTGGAAAGGCTTGGGCACCATATGGTAAAAACACAACTTCTAAAGCTTTCCCAACTTTTCTGGGTGCCCTCTGAGCTCGCCCTAGCTCTACTCTCTGACAAATGGATACGATTAAGCTCTAAGCAGGATGCTCCTCTTAAAGCTGTGCCTCACATGTTTGCAGAGCGATCCACAGCCCCTCTTTGTTGTGTACTCTGGGACAAGCTGTGGATGTGAGTCACAATCAAACAGAACTAAACATTCAGTTTAGAGTTGGAGACACACTGCTATAGCCAGAACGTTGCTGTTCACCATGGCAAACTATCAAGTCACACTACTCACGCGAGGGGAACGGGTGACAAGCAACGTGTCCACCTCTGCAGAGCAGCGTTAGAGCTGCTCCTCCGTGCAGCATTGCTTCTAAAGGGTTTTGTGGCTTCTGCATTCCCTAACAGAAGAGCTGTTCCAATGACCCTGTAAAACCTACCTGCAAGGACACAGAAGAGGATGCCTAGCTGTGGGGAAGAGCCAAGCTGCAAGCTCAGCAGGGTTGAAGCATATGCTCACTGCTGAAGATGAACAGTTTGATAGCCAAGTGTTTGGCTGTACTTTGCCTTGCAGCCTCATGATTCCTGTGGGAGAGCTTGAGAGGCCCCACCTTCCTGAAGCATGTCAGGACACAGCCAGCGGGAGCCCAGATCACCTTTGCCTTGCTTGTTGGAAGGGCCAAAGTATTTAAAGATGCATTAATGATTCACGCCAACCCAAGACATCTGGAGAGCGCCCTGAGGAAAACCAGGAGCTGGTTTGCACAAATACCTGATTTCCATGTGTGCAGCCTGCCAACAAGGAGAGCACACCCTGCCTGAGGAGCGGGGTCAGAGCTCTTCGCGGTGTGACCGCAGTCACCTGTGAGGCTGTGGTTATTGGGTTTCCTACCAACACCTCCCCTCCTCTTAAGCTGGTGGTCACCAGCAATCCCATATCATGATGCTCTGCCTCCAGCTGCGTGGAAACCAGTTCCCAGCACCATGCACTGGGCACTGGCCAGGCTCACACCCAACGACACACATGTGGTGAGCACGCCTGAGTATGGACAAACGCACCACGCAGCAGAGACTTTCCCCACAGATTTTGCCTTTCATCTCAGATAAGTAACTTGTCACCAGCTTTATTTTGGCTCGGAGATGTTTGAGGAGGGTAAACATACCAGAGCCATGAGTCTGACCTCCCCTCTTCAACAGCAATCGGGTGGCTTCCAAGCAGAGGTATTTCTAAGCTGGCTTTTGACGACTGCTACCATAGGGACCTCCTTTCCCTCCCCCTTATTTGCACAGAGGGGAGCAGTGAGCACCCCTCTTTCCAACCCCAGATACGTTACATTTTCACTCTGATCCGGGGAACTACTCGTTGCCCCCTCTGAGTTCAGGGATCCTTTGGAGTCCTCCCGCTTTATCCCATGGCCATTCGGAAGTGCTGCTCCACAGGCTGAAAAAAAACCAAACTCCACAATTAGCCCCTTTGCACCAGCACAACTCAGCTCATCACAGACAGAGAATGGAAGATGCCAAAGCTGCCCGAGGGGAGACTGAGCTGAGCTCTTAGGCAGAAGCTCTTCCCTGTGAGGGTGCTGAGGCGCTGGCACAGGGTGCCCAGAGAAGCTGTGGCTGCCCCATCCCTGGCAGTGTTCAAGGCCAGGTGGGACACAGGGGCTTGGAGCAAGCTGCTCCAGTGGAAGGTGTTCCTGCCCGTGGCAGGGGTTGGAGCTGGAGGAGCTTTAAGGTCCCTTCCAACCCAAACCAGGCTGGGGTCCTGATTCCACGACTGTTTCAGATTTTGGGTAATGGGGGTTTTGGGGCTGGTAACAGTTATGTTCAAAATGAACGGGAGAGTTAAAGTTTAGAGAACCCAATTTACCTGGATCTTTGTCTGCAATGAGGCTGGATCTGTTTGAGGGAGATGCAAAACTGTACATGAATTCATCCCTGGATGCCTGCAAAGTAACGTAAAGTTTTTGTGACCAATGGAAGAGAACACTGATGCTCTTAGAGAAGAGAAAAATGAAACAGAAAAAGGCAAATTAAAGCAGCTTTAAAAATGCAGATTAAAACAAAAAAAAAATCTATTTCTTTAATCCATAATAAGGAAACAAACGACATGGGGAGGAGCACACAGCACCGCAGAACATGCCAGAGTAAGTCAGAGCTCTTTTATCTTTTGGGTTTCATTACTGAAGTTGAACGTTGGAATTGTTTTTCCTCAAATGCCTTTTTGTTGTTGTCGCTTTGCCCCAAACAAGGAGGAAAGTCTCATCTGCAAGGCTAAGCCTGCCTGGGAACCACACACAAGCCTCAGGCAGATGGGCAGCTCCCCAGAACAAGTGCTGCAGTCCAAGGCTGAGTCCTGTTGCAACTCATTGCACTTGGAGGGACTCACCTCACCTCACGGCACTACACACACCATGAAACACCACTTTAAACAATAGCAAGCGAAAAGGCAGAGACATCCCTGGCAGTGTTCGAGGCCAGGCTGAATGGGGCTTGGAGCAAGCTGCTCTAGAGGGAGGTGTCCCTGCCCGTGGCAGGGGGTTGGAACAGGATGACCTTAAGGTCCCTTCCAACCCAAACCATTCCATGGCTCTATGAAAAGGCACATTAAAAGCAGTGAACCCATTATGGGGCTGTGTGGAGAAGACAACCACACTTATTGCCAGAGCTGCGCCTGGCTGCAGGCAGCGGCAGCTCACAGGGGTGTGAGGGGGAGGACTGAGGAGGAGGAGGCTGAGAGGCCAGGCCGGGCTGGACTCACGGGGCTGGAGGCAGCAGTGCAGGAGTAGAGCACCTCGCGGCCGGCCACGCGCTGCAGGTTCTCCAGGAGCAGCCCCAGCAGCGGCAGGTAGAGCTGCGCTATCTTTGCCTGCTGGTTCTGCAAAGAGACAGGGAGAAAGGTGCAGGGAAGAGCCCGGGCTCTCAGTGCAGGGTGAAAGGAGACCTGAGCCAAACACACACGTACGTGTTTACACACTGTACACGGTGTCAGAGGACATGGGTTGATGCGGCTTCCCATCTCCACTTCAGAGCTGCCAGGTGGCGAGCACCCTTTTAACAGCAAGCTTGGGGTACCCGGGGATTTTGGGGCTGAACATCATTCCCAGTCATACAGGATGTGTGAGGAACTGAATCCCGTATTTCCCAACCCTTTAACTGGCGCTTCACTCCCATAGCTTGAGTTTTGAGCGCCAACACCCAGGAGTAATGAAGGAAAACCATTTGCTCCTTGCTTGGTGCTGGCTAGTGCTGCCAGTCAGGAATTCTTGATAGCAAATACTTCTGGTTAAAACATTCATTTGAGATATCATTGTTGTGTTTTACTGTACTATTATTAATAACAAACGTTCATTCTTCCGCACCCAGCCAAAGACCTTCTGCAAACCATACACATGACAATGTACTATGAAAAATAATGTCCATATAATCTTTTCCATCTTAGTTTGTTTTCCTAGCAAGATCTGGATTAAGTCCATCATTCGATAGAGAATGGTGCTCAGAGAGAGTGATTAAACAGTCCATAGGAACAGATTAATCTGGATTAAGTGATACAGATCAAAAAGGGTCTGGTTGACATTTTCTGAATGCAAGGCTCTTTCACATGCAATTCTCTTTTTGTTAAAATTTATACTTCTGCACTTGACAAAAAGGTTAAAAGAAAAAGACATTTCAGGCTTGCCAATTAAATGGCACATTTTGATCAATACAAGAATCCAGATTTTTGACTCCCTATGACAAAAGATAACAGCAATCGGCCTGCCCTGGCCCTGTTGTGGTACTTGCCCTGGTGTCCTGGGACAGCAGCCGAGCCTCCTGCCCTGGCTCCAGGCAGTGGCCTGCTCGTGCAGCCTGGAGCACAACACAGGTACAGAAATCCAGTGGGACACTTTCAAGCCGGGTGGTGTTTTGGAGGAGGCAGGGAGTGCGCAGCAGCCAAGCAGCTCCTGCATTCATGCGAGGGTTTCCAGGCACTCGGAGAGGCAGAAACAGCCTCAGTATTGACAGGGAACTGGCAAAGCTCTCCTGAAATATCAAGTCTTGGCACCTGCCATGGGCTGCACTTTTGTTTCCAGGCTGTGCAAGTCACCATGGATCCTCAGTGCAGAGAAAAGCAAGCGCACCTCCTGCCCAGCCCTTCCAAACAGGCAGGCAAGGAGATGAGAGGAGCTGGCTCCCCGTCCATGCGGGTGCAGATCACTTCTACCCCTCATGCCCAGGAAGGCACCTGCATTCCCAGATAAAACTCAGCAATGCAGCACACCAGGAGCAATCTGAGGAGGTAAACCCTAAACAAGGCATGTTTTCAGCCTAGAGCAAGGTCAGGTAGTGTCTGCACAGGTAGCTGGGCACGTTCAAGGATGTACGGGTTAGCAGTGAGCAGCATCAGGGAAGAAAACCAGCCCAATTCCAGGCTTTTCAGCAACAGCAATGCTGAGCCTCTGACTGAAGAATCCCCCAGTGGAAACCCAGCATTTGCCCACAGATCCTCTCCTCTGATTAACCAGTTAGTAAAACATGCAGCTGATTGTAACAGAGATCAGTCCTGTTTCCTAATTACGGTACATTAATGCAGGATATGAATTTAAGCCCGGTACCAGAACAACATCAACGTTGCTTAATTTTGTTGAACAGCCTCTGGGCTAATGACACTCAACTTCCTTAATGGCTCAGGGCTTTAGTATTAAATACTCAGCAGGAATAAGAGCCCTACAGTTATCTGACTGCATTGCTCATGTTCTTGAATTCTATGAATTCAGGAACACCATGTTTAAAAGCCAACAGAAAATGCCTGACCTTGTGCTGGTATCTGTTGTCGAAGGCATGCTTTATCAAGAGATTTTTTAAGACTGAGATGGCTGTATATCTGATATCGTAGTTGTCCTGCAAGGCAACAGAGGCTTCTCTCAGAAGCATCCCCACGAGGAAATGGTGCCTGCAATACTCGTCAGTTAAACTGTATTCGAGATTGACATCTGAAAGAAACAGCAAGGCAATGGTTAAGGGAACTGTTCCGAGGAGCTGGTCAAAGCAAGACAAAAGGTCAGGTAAGCCAAAACAGCCTGATTGCAGGCTCATCACTGTCCCCTGCAGTGCACTGCTCTGACAACAGCTGCCTCCACCTCTAAGTCGAGTCATAGCAAAGAACTTGGCATCTTCCAGCTCAGGCTGATCATCCCTGGAGACATTCCATACCAGGCTGGATGTGGATCTGAGCAACCTGGTCTAGTTGGAGATGTCCCTGCTCACTGCAGGGGGCCGGACTGGATGAGCTTTGAAGGTCCCTTCCTACCCAAACTATTCTAGGATTAATTTCAGCCCTCCCTGTTTCAGCAGCAGCTAAAGAAAAGGATTTCTGCAGGGTGATGCTTTACAAAGCTCAGTGCTCCAGAGCGATTTGTGAAGTTCAATGGACTCACAGCCCGGGGCCTGCTTGGTCCTGGCTCTGGGCTACTCTGCAAACCCCAAACTACCCAGGCAGCCGAGGTGCCAGCCTCCACAAGCAGCTCTGAGGGTGGCAATGGGCAGTGGGGATGGTGCACCCGTCAGGGCTGCCCAGCCCTAGCAGGACCCTTCCTGCAGCTTGTTCCACATGTCCCGTGACATCTGCATTCCTTCTCACCAGGTCAGGGAGCAGAGAAAAGGCAAATACTCCTGCTGAGATAAGGGATGCAAACAAGGACACGGTGCCAGGTGGCCACTACTGCATCCTCCAGCAGTTTACACAGCAAGGACCAGGGAGCCAGGGCAGCATTCCAGGCAGCAGCTTGCCAGGAACTGAGGCTCCTTTTGCTTCCTCCAGCAGGTAGGGAACACTGACTGCCAGGAGAAAGGCAGCTCAGGACCCGATCGCTTTGGTTAACTTGTACCCTGTATCTCATGTAGACTGGGGCTCTAGACTGTGGTCAAAGGAGTGGCTGCTCCTCTGACGGCAAGGGTAAAGGCACCAGGGTAAGGCAGCATTTCCACTGACCTGCCTGGATAGCACAGCAGGGAAATGACACAGACTCCAGCGTGCTCTTGAGCTGCTAGGAATGACCCTGCCCTAACACCATTATCTCTGTCAGACAACCCATACATCTAACTAGAGCCTCAACAGGCACTGGTCGACTGTTGCCTTGAGCATCCCAGAGGGATACCCCCCAAGCTGTGTGCTCTCCCCCCAAAGGTACAAATGCTGTGTGCTCAGCTTGCACTTCTGTCCTTGAAAACCCCATAGGTGTGAAAGCTTTCCTACGGTAAGGCAGGGAGCATGCACACAGCTTTGAAAATCCCAGCCACAGCCTTCCAATAGCTCTGGGGCTGCAAAAGTCAGGGTTGAGTTCGTTGATTCACATGGAGCATGTAGTGGTTTGTGAAAGCGTGATTCAGAGGAAAGGGAAAGCAAGCTGCAGCATTATCTAGCTTTCACTGTTAGTCATGTTAGTAAAAGCCCAAGCGTCTCACATCATGGTTAGGTTATGAGCTGGATTCAAGCTGATTGATTGGAAGCTGCGTATTGAAGTTGACATTAGAAAGCTCAATGACCCCTGCTGGGCCTACCTACTGCAGTGACCCGTCCCACAGCAAACGAAAAAGACTCTAATTCATGTGTGAAAAGGGACAAATAAGACAGCAAAAATAGGCAGGAATAAATAATTCTCTAAATCTTGGAGAAACAGGACAGTACGTCATGTTTTAACGTTGTTTGTAAGGCTATTGCTTAACCCCCAGCTCCTGCCAACCTCTTGAGTTCTTTGCTATCACAAGGTTGCAAAACCAATCCTGTGCTGCAGGCTGTGAGGATGGGCTCCGTGCCTTGCTCTGGCTGATGAAACACATCCCTGGGGTGAGGCAGCAGGGATGGAGACCAGAAACCAGCCCTCACAGCTGAGATGGTTCAGGGAAACTGCTCCAAGATGCAACGCTCCAACCCAGCAGGATGTGGTCAGGGGGACGGGCTCTGCCTGCAGGCCTGTCTGCTGCAGGAGGTCTCTATCCACCTTCCTGGGGGCTATTCCTTCCTTTCCCAGACACACAGCAGGATGTGCTGGGCACATCACTGCTCTTCATCCAAATGAGGGGAGGTACACCAGCAGGGGAGCCCCTGGGCCAGATCACACCTCCCCATCTCTGAGCCTGCTGTCCCCGCAGGGTCTGTCCATTAAACCAGAGCAGCCTGCAGTGGAGATGCATCAGCACATGTCTACCATGGCAGGCAGAGCACCGGCACCATGGCAAGGGCACTTCTGGCTGCTCTGCTGTCACAAGATGTGTGTGAACCTCAGCTGGTAGGTTCTAGTCACAGTAAAACGGAGGAGAAAAGAGAAGCTGCTCCTATAGCTTTTCAGTTTAAGCATTGCAAATGCAAAGGTGAATGTGAACCAAGAAAGAGCATCATCATGTTATCATGCCACAAATAAGCAGTGGGAAGGCACCGTGGTTGTGAGTTTTCAGCCGTTTCTAGCAGTGCACTTTGTTAAACTATGCCAGTCAAGTAGCCAAACTGATATAAGAGATTAGCAGCTGGTCCAGAAAGCTCTGAGCAGTCAGAAATACACCAAAATGAGGAATATTTCACAGTGACTTCTGCTTCTGCTATCTGGATGTGTGTGGAACCACTTTGGGACTTGTATGGTTGCACCCTGAGGCACAATCAAACATCCCCTTGCCTCTACCAGAATAAATCTCAGAATGACAAACCCACTGGGCTTTCACATGGGGGAATCCCAAACCTGATTCTCCTCTCCTGTATTTATCTTGGCCAGGCACCCAAACCTGGCAATCTTTACCTGACTTACCTAGCCCATGAGGCAATGTCTATAGCAATCTTAGGAGCGTGATGGTCCACATTTGCACAGGGCCTCAGCCTCTTGCAAACCCCACCTGCCCTGTGGGGAGCAGCATCAGGACCAAGAGGGACATGGGGTGAGCAGCCTGGAGACAGGGTGGCGGTGCCACACTATGTATGTTCTTGGTATGTGCTAAGGCTTGGCATGAGCTCAGGTTCTCTGCTGGCTGCCTTCAGCCCAGGTTTGAGTCCAGGCTTCAGTGCACCGTTATGCTCTTGTTCAAAATGAAACCAGAAGGTAACCTGAATCACCTTCATAGAGAGAGCTGGCAATGCAGAGGGAATTGAGTCTGTTGCCCTGTATCTCCATTCTCTACAGCACTGGTCAGTGGGGACCCTCTGCTCCTCAGGGGATGCTGACTCTTATGGGAACAAAGGATTACACTTGCACAGTTTGTGCATTTACTGAAATAGGGGCAGTTTCTTTCTGCTATTCTTAGTCCCATGCAAACTTCAATATAAGAAACATTGAGAAGATGGATTGGACACCACACTGGAGCACAATGATGTAAAGTTGCCAGAACAGCATCTTTTCCTGAGGTTAATGTAAATCAGGCTAACCAGGACATAAATTTCCTTGACACCAAAGCAATCCCATCTGGTCAGAAGCCATCACAACTAATAAATTACAGCTCTCTAACAAGTCTCTTGAGAAAGGACATACCTTGAACTCTTTGCAGCTTGGGTTTGGAGAAGGTCATTGGTAAGTTCAGAGGAATGTAGTGCTCATGATTGCAAATGGTTTGAAGAAATTCAAACTTGTATTCAACCAGCAGCTGAGAAAAAGGAAAAAGAAAAGACAAACAGAAACTATTCAGTTTGATTCGTTTACTTCCAGTTCAGGATTGGGGAATCTAAACAGCATCTGATGAAACTCAGTAATAACGGGCAATTTTTGGTGTTCTTCCCCCTAAGTGTCCCTGCATGGATTTGCCACCTGGGACTTCTTCACCTTTTTCACCCAGACTATCAGCAAATCTTTCCTTTAGCTCTGACTCTACGTTGATTTAAAGCTTAGCTGCATTCAGGCTCTCAGCCAAAAGAGGTTTCTGCCTCCAGAAGACTCTGCAGGAGCAGGGTCTAAAAGGCCTCCAAGAGTCACAAACTAATCACTGCACGACTTTGATGCGGATACGTACGACTGCAAACCACAGCTTACCTTGGGGTCTTTGGGGCTGAATCCAGAAACGTAATCATTTATTAAGTTAAAAACAAATCCTCTGTCCATAAAGGTCAAACAACGCTGGGGAAAGAGCAGCAGCATGTGAGTGAGCATTACAAATAGAAGCAGTCATCCTAAATCAGCTCCTTACTCCCATCCTGCCAGCAGCCACATTGGGCCCTCCCGGCTGCTGCTGACTTCCCAAATGTACTTGGCCCTGTTTCTCTGGAATTATTTGGATGCCCTCACTCGAGTCTGCAGTGGACAACAGAAATATTTAAATGAGAGCTCCCATATTTCCCCCTGTGCTCCCAACAGTTGCTGGGCACGACTGAAAGCCCTACGTAACACAGAGCATCGCAGTCTCTCTCTTGGAAAGATTAAGTTTCTTTCCTAGGAAACCTGGTTCCCTCCAGAGTTCTCAGACCAAGGCCAGGTTGGATGGGGCTTGGAGCAACCTGGCCTAGTGTGGAAGGTGGGGGAAGGGGGTTGGAACTGGATGATCTTAAGGTCCCTTCCAACTCAAACCAGCCTCGGACTCTAAGAAACCAAAGAGGTGATAAAGCACACACACGTTTGTTTGCTTGCTGCTTATTTCTCATTGGTTGGGTTGATTTTCTTTCCTGATAAAAGCACGAGAGAAAGAAAGAAAGAGCTGACCTTCAGAAAGTTGGCCAGGCTGAAGTTGGCATTCCTGGACTCCTCAGGGATCTCGTTATAGCGAATGGTGACATGGGGAATGATGGCAAGCAGCAGCGAGTGCAGGGCATGCTGGTAGGAGTCGGGGAACCGCTGGCCTCTGGGCAGCTGGAACCAAGAGCACGTCCCGGTCAGTGCTGCCAGGAGCATCTTCCAGCACGTGTGTCACTTCCCAGGACAGCACTGGCTGGAACGGCAGGAGCTAGGAACAAAAGGAGGCTGCACGAGCCATAAGAAGCTCAGGAATTTCTGACTTACAACTGAGAGTGAAAAGGGGAAGAAGGGAGAAGTGAAAAAGGAAGGATCTGCCTGTTCTGCTTGTCAAAGACTTCATAAATAAGAGTTAGGTAGTTTTCCAGGAAAGCTTTTGGAGGACAGCTTGTGATGGCTCTGGAACGTGCATCAAACAAAACTCATTACCTTGATTTTGTTTTCCTCCAGTAAGTACATTGCCATGGACTTTGCCAGTGCTTCAAAGAAAAACCACGAGTACTGAAAGGAACAGAGAACACCATCACTTTTCTCAGCAGGACTGAACACGTTTAACTGTGTGAGGAAGCAGAGTGTGGGACGGAGAGCTCACGGTCAGATGATGTTCTGTAAGCTGGGCAGTGCCTGCATAGCCAGCTTGGCACCCAGAGGAGCCCTGCCAGGCTGGGGTGGGAATAGCTCCATTGCCTCTGCACCCCAATGCAGCAGTATGGGGTGTAAGCCCAGACTGGCAGAAACCCATCCTGCTCTCATGAGCCATAGGGCTTGAGGAAAACAGATAAAACATGGGTTAATGGTGGACTAGGCAGCCCTGGGGGAACAGCTGGACTTGATGGTCTTAAAGGTCTTTTCCAACCTAGCTGATTCTATGATTCTATGAAAACTGGCAAAATGAAAAGCCTTTTGCTGTGTCCTGCCATGAGCTTTAGCACAGCCAGATCCCCTGCAAGAATCATCTGTTGCAACAGGAGAACCTCAAGGATGTGGATGCAAGGAGCTGCCCTGGTAGTTTTGCTCCTGTGGTGGGTTTGGATGGGTGAAAGTGTTGGGCTTTACAACAGACCCCCTTCTCCTCCCCTGCAGCCTCAGCAGCCAAGTACTGCCCATACTTCACCTTGAGGAGCTTATTGATGGTCAGAAAATCCGCTGACTGCTTCAAGATCGTGGCCATGGAAAGGACCAGGATTTCATGGGTCATCTTCGCCTGGGTGACGCTGGGTTTCTCAGCTCGAAAGACATACTGAAGGCAAGAGGAACAGGGTCAGCCTGGGTCTGCTCCCAGCAGGGAGCTTTGCAGAGCCATGTGTCACGACTGACCTTTATGAAGGAACGCAAGTAGTGATCTAGACCTTCTTCATGGCACTTGGACACAATGTGCAGAAGAACCCTGGGGAGAAATGTGGTTTGTGTTCAGCACGAGATGCAAAGCAAGTTCCTCTGGCTTGCGAAAGCACACACCAACCATCTCAACCCCAAAAGCCTCCCTGCTGGCATTGCAGAGCCCACACTGGCAGGCTGAGCATCCCTCGCAGCTCCTGTGGTTGCACCAGCAATGCCACAGCACAGCCCCTTCACAGACCACTCAGAGCAGAGGTGCCCAAAGCCTCTTCCCCACTGTGGTGCTGGTGTCTCCCAGCCCAGCTGCCTTCAATGCTAGAGGCTACCTGCACGAGGAGGTGGAGGTGAGGGGCAGCACCTCTCTCTGGGTAACACATCTTGCTCTTTGGCCTCTGTGCATGCCAGGATTAAAGCCTGCTGGTACTGAAATGCAGCTGCAGTGAGCATCATGCACCTGAACAATGCTCGGGTGTCAGGTAAACTGAAAACAAAGCCATTAAGCTCATCTGCTCTGCACCCCATTCTCTCTGGCTGCACCTATGGACCTGCTGTGTGGAGCACAAGCTCATTGTCCCTCCTGCAGAAGCTATAGGTTCATCCACACCACACAGCTTACGTGTTGAGTCTATCCTGACCTGGAGCCCTTTCCTGATGAGAATACAAGGGAGAAAGAACAACTAGAGCACTGCATCTGGGCTGCAAAATGAACACAACCCCCACAGAATCTGATGAGAAGCAGGTAAAACATCCTCCATTGTTGTTATCTGATACCTTTCTGCATCCCCTGCATTTATTCATTCCAGAAGGCTTTTCCTTATGGAATCTACATGCACTGGGATGTTCTCAGGCTTCTGCCTTGCAGTTCACTGGGGACAGGCAGGCCCTGGAGAACATGCCAGCCCTCTGGAAGCGCTCCAGGCAGCTGACGAAGGCAGCAACCGCTTGGATTCCCCAGCCAACATTGGGGTTTACATCCCAATCCCAGCCAGAGGGAACAACAAACTATTGCATTGTCACGGACCCCAAAGGCCAAACCACAGGGAGGAGTTTACAAGCCATTTATCAGATCAAGTGGATTTTAAATTCCACTCTGAAAGTCGCATGAGAAAACAGTTGTCATTGGAACGGAAAGCTATTGACAAACGGGGAAGCACCAGGCCAAGCTCTGATAAAGCCTCTGGAAGTGAAGGTGGGAGCCGGTCACCCAGCAGGTACCTGGGTGTTCCCTGTCCCTGCCCCCTGGTGATTCCAGCAGAGTGGGATTACAGTGTTCTTCACAGGAGCTGTCCCCACAACCTGCACCACGTGGCACAGGACCATGGCTGCAATGGGCTGCACATCTCCAGGGGACCAGGACTGAACCTCCAACCTCCAGTTTCATGGGAGTGAGATGCTTCTGGTACAGAGATGCACAGTACATCCTGGAGCCAGAGGAAGCCAAGAAACCTGGAGAGGGGCTTGGGACAAGGGATGGAGGGACAGGCCAAGGGGGATGGCTTTAACCTGCCCGAGGGGAGACTGAGATGAGCTCTTAGGCAGAAGCTCTTCCCTGTGAGGGTGCTGAGGTGCTGGCACAGGGTGCCCAGAGAAGCTGTGGCTGCCCCATCCCTGGCAGTGTTCAAGGGCAGGTTGGACACAGGGGCTTGGAGCAAGCTGCTCCAGTGGAAGGTGTCCCTGCCCGTGGCAGGGGATGGAGCTGGAGGAGCTTTAAGGTCCCTTCCAACCCAAACCATTCCATGATCATACAGTTCTTCCCCACACAGCTCCCGCAATGCCAGTGCCACCAGATGTGCCAGGGGAAGGCAGCAGCCAGTGCTCCACAGCAGAGCGTAGACAGCCACCATTGTCACTCAGCACCTCGTACCAGGAAACCACACCCTGCTTTGCGCTGTGGTCTGTGGCTTTGCCTTTGTAACTGAAGGAAAGCAGAGGGTTCAGCAGACACTCACATGGTGCAGTTGACGGCTACTTCATCCTCCTGGGTCACGTTTGTGAGGACTCTAAATAGTTGCATAAGAATTACAGGTAGAAACTGAATCATTACTTGGATCTCCATGGCGTGCAAGCACTAAAACGAATGTTCAAAACACACTTTTAGTTGGACATTCCACAGATGTGAGATGTTTATAGTGCAGACGTTCCTGTGGCAATAGCACAGGCATTAGCAAAGAGGGCAGGGTTTGGGCTTCATCCTGCCAGAGGACCCGAGGTCTTGACCCCACAGCAGCAGCGCTCAGTGCCTTTGGGAGCAGCATCAACCACTCATGGCACTAATCCTCCCCTTTGATGTGCCCAGGCTGCTATGACTTTATTAGAGGTCCCATGCTGTGATTTGCCCCCAGTAACAGAACTTAAGGCGGAAGCTTTGCTCCTGAACCTTGTCACTTGTGACAGGTTTTTGAAGGGACCAAGTCCCGTTTACCCCAAAGCCTTTGGAGCATGGAAGTCCGATGCCCGACGGCTTGCAGTGAGAGAGCCCAGCTTGCTGTTGGCAATGGGATTTAAGTGACTTGGTGAAGGTCAAGATCATCAGGTGCACACACCCTCCACGCACCCCACAGACCTCTCTTGCCTGGGTCTCAGGATGTAAGCCTTCAAAAGACAGTGTGTTTCATTTGCAGTTTTCAAAGCTGACAACGAAAGGGTCTTAAATCTGTATCTCGGTGTTTAAATCACTGACGTTACAGAGATACTGGTGATTAAGAAGCCCCCGCTTGAGGTTACACGTAAATATCTCCCTGCTGCACCTACCCAGGCCCTTGACAAAATGCTCACAACAAAGCAAGTGTTCTTTTAGTGCCTGGCTTCAAAACCTGCCATTGTTTCTATTCCTTAATGTATTTATACACTCTCTGAAACACACCCAGCAAGTCTGTGATGACAAATCCCCACCACTGGCAGCGGAGCTGTTGCTACAGCAGCGCTCTCAAAACCAGGCAGCTGTGGAAGGACACAAGGACAGCAAACAGTCAAGAAATGTATTCCCTGCACAAGCCTTTGCTGGACCAGCTCCAAGGCCCTTACTCATGCCGCAGTGATTGCCAAAATGCCGGGTCGGAGGTCATCTGTGGTCAAACGTAACTGACTGATAATCCCACACATCTCTGTCAGCCTGATAAAATACCCCATTTTGAATGGATAATCCTGAGAGGAAGGAGCTGTGCTGCATCTGAAAGGTTTGAATCAGATCTTGGGCACCAGGAGGAGGGTTTGCCACGTGCACGGCAGAGCGATGCTCTTGTATGATCTGCTGTGAAACAGACTGTAGCGATAGGACAAGGGGTGATGGGTTCATACTGAAACAGGGGAAGTTCAGGTTGGATGTAAGGAAGAAGTTCTTTACTGTGAGGGTGCTGAGGCCCTGGAACAGGCTGCTCCAAGAAGCGGTAAATGCGCTCCATCCCTGGCATGTTCAAGGCCAGGCTGGACACAGCCTTGGGCTACATGGTCTAGTGTTCTATGTGCCCATAGCAGGGGGGTGGAACTGGATTATTTTATGGTCGTTTCCAACCCAAGGCATTCTATGGTTCTATGAAGGGCAGTGAAGCAGCACACAGAGCAGCCAGCCCTGTCAGTAAGCAGAGGTAAGGACAGCGTGCAAAGCACCAGCCCCAGCACTGCAGTGAGGCTGTGCTCCCACCGGGCAGGCTCTGTTATTTCCTGCCAGTCTGTAAGCGCCCAGCTGATGCCCACTGCCAGGCCCTGCTCACCTTCAGGTATTTCACAAGTTCTCCTGGCACTTCCTTAGCTCCCGCCTGCACCAGCTGGCAGTACTGGAAGAATTTGTGCAAGTGCATGTCCTGGAAGAGACAAAGTTGTTCAGTGCAGCACCCTCAGCGTTTGTCAACCCCCGCTCTGCAGCTTGCACTCAAAACCCTGCTGACCTCCCCGCGGCAGAGGTGTCCCCAGCAAGCCCCATGTCCCTATCAATGGTCCCCACTCCCAGGACTACAGTACTGCTCCCTGCCTTTGCTGATGTACCCAGCCCCTGCCCACCCCCTGGCTCCCATAATCTCAAGGTTAAGCACAAAGCTTCCAGCAGTGTGAAAATTCTCCTGTGGTTGTGCTGCCCTGAGCCCTGATCCCCATCCAACACTGGCCTGGATAAGTGGGAGCCTTCCTCTCCCAGCTGCGGCTCTCCATCTGCCTCACCAACCTACTGCCCACATGAGGCACTTCCCTTCCCATTTCTCTCCCTCCTCCTCCATAGGTACATTTAATTGCTGGGTTATTTAACCCTGAAAAGCATCTGGGGATGTAATCTGGTGGGAAATGGAGCTGCTGTGCTGCTCTCAGTGCTGTCCAGAATCAATAAGACCCTAAACCAGATTTGGATGATGCTGAAAGCAAGTTGCTGTGAATGTAAATGCAGCCGATTACACCCAGCATGGGACAAGCAGCCCTGCCCAGGGCACTTCCCCATGAGCAGTGCTGACAGGAGGTGCCCCAGAGCACTTTGCTGCACGTCACATGAAGCTTGGGGAAGTCCATCACTGCCGTGGGACAGCAGAAAACACAAGGACTTGGTAAACCAGCCTGAACTGGTTGCAAAAGGAAATCAGGACTCGTGTTTTCTGGTGTCTGCTCACGTTGGAAAACCTTTAAAAGAACCTTAATAAACAGACCAATATCTGCAGAAACCTCGCACTGCCACCGGTCCTTCTCTTGCACCGGGGCAGCTCATTTGCTCAAATGTTTCCTTGGTCCTGCCGCTTACAGTGCAATTGGCCAAGAAAACATCAGCCTCTCCCCTGCTCCTTCACACAACTGCTCATCACAGCCAGGCAAAGCAGCAGATCCCTGCAAGCAATCCCAGACCTGCTGCTGCACAAGGATCTCTGTGCTGCTCTGCAAACAAATACCTCTTCCCCACAGCAGCAGTAGAGACAGAGCAATCACTTCCTTTGTCTTGAAGAGCGAGATGCTCATTTACCTGGGTGTAAATGGTCGAGTCCAAATGGAGTCTGATCTTAAACAGTGGCTTTGCTCCATCCACCCACTTCGCATCCACGCTGGGCTGCTGTGAACAGACAACATTCAAGCACTTGGTTTCAGACTGCAGTGAGAAGGTGGCTCTGTGCAGACAGACACTGGTCAGGTTGGGGTGGAACAATGGGCTCCCCTCGTGCACCAACATCAGTGACCTGACTGCAGCCTCCGCAGGGCAGAGAACGGGCACACGGAGCACGTGCCCCATCCCCTGCTCTGCCCCATCTGCAACAGTCCAGCCTCCCATGGAAATACTCTCTGCAACCCACAGAAGCACAGGAAGTCCTGCCTCCCATCCTGAAGAGCCTTAAGCTGTGGGAGCTGCCGTGCAGCTGGGATCTTTACAGCTGAGCAGAGCACTAACATGGGCCAAGAACTTACAGTGATAACAAAAGCTCAGCCTTCCTCTTCCTTTTACATTTAAGTCCATTTTAAATGGCCTTCCTACCCTTCGTGCCTCTGGGTCTCCAAGGCCTAGGTAGCCAGGTGGAAGGTTGGATGAAACTGGCAAATGCCTCTCCAGGGTGACGATGCGTCCATCCTTCAGCAACGGCACCCAGGCGTACCCCACTGCGGAGGCAACCAGACCTGAGTTAGGTGGCACCCAGTGACCCATCTCCAAAAAGAGCTGTGCCTCACCCTGAGGAGATCAGGCTCGCAGCTGTGGAAGGGGCTTCAGCAAGGCTGGGATTGACCACATCAGCCTTGGTAAAGCACATTCACCTGGTGACTTGGTGAGCACATTCACACCCAGCACAGCCGAGACCAGGAGTGGGTTGGAGGGGCAGAAACAGCCTGCGAGCCATGGTTGTGCACCCAAGGACCTGCTGAATGGAAAGGCAACCCAGCCCGCAGGACCTGGGGGTGCTCAGTTTCTTATACATGTTCAGGGTTGGCAGGATAGGCCCCTGAGGCTCTGATCTCCCATCAAGGTTTTGGTGGTGACCTGACTGACAAGAGCCCATTCACACAAACCAAGTCAAGAACATGCAGGAAGAGCTTCGATATACACTAAACACATAAGTGTTTTACTCCAGTTTAGACCCAAGATTTGTATGAGGATGCTTTCAAAAAGCCAAAATGCAGACAGTCCAGTATTTTAATCAAGTATTTTTTCATGTCCCTTTGTTCATCTTATCTTGGACTCCAATAGAAGTAACTGAAGCATTGAACGTACCTTGAGTTTCAACGGTGTCCTGCTTTTTCGATGTTGCCTTTGTATTAATTTCACAGCTGACATGATAGAAGGTGAAAAGCAAATGATGCTTTTGATGGAGGTGAATTGGAAGCTCAATTTTAATCTAAAATGATACCATGATAGATAAGACTGTATTTTTAGTCGTGGAGTAGTATTTTAAGCTCTATTTCACAAATGCTATGTACGCAGTTACACTAGACACATTCCTACCAATCTGTAATAACTCCTGGCTAACATGTTCATCACATCAGCACATTATTTATTAATGGGGGTGTGTGACTGCAGTGCACAAAGCGTGACAGTAAAGATAGCACAAAACAAACTGGCATTAAAAATTGACAGTCCCTGGCTCTGCTGAGCTCTTCCACTGAGGCAAAGAGCTGGTCACTATTTTTACCCTTATTCCACCCAGCCCTGGAAAAAAGATGCCTCCTGAAAGGCCCCTTGGCTTTGTAGCACCCAGGAAAACCTGGTATTTCCCACCATTGCATTTTTACCTCATCATAGAACTCTGGACTCTGGTTGTGATGCAGCACAGCAGCGTACGCGTTTGTGGTCAGGAGATGCCCTCCGGGTTTGCCGTATATACACTGGGAACACAAATGAAGAGCTGAATTCAGGCTTGCTCTCACCCTAAATGAGCTGGCCAAATGAAAACAGCTTTCCTGTAGTCCTGCTCAGCCCGGCTGGCACACAGGACACAACAGCAAGTGGCAGCCCCATTAACAGTACCCACCTTTAATGGCCTGGCATCAGCTTCATCTGAATCCCTGAACTCAAGGCAGACAGCAATATTCCTTGCCTGAAATGGGGGAGAACAGAAGGATGAGCCATTGCTGCAGGTCAACAGCATCACCCCATTACATGCTGAGCCTGCTCTCCAGGTCACCCACCTTTGCAAACACCTTCTGGTTCTCATACTTCAAATGCAAGGGGTAGACATAGAGATGGTTTTTGTAGACGGTGAAGGGATAACAGTATTTAGTGACTTCTGGGACAAACTCTTCCACTTCAACCGCGACGTCCTCACAGCTCTTCTCAAAAGGCTTTATAGGAATGTAAGAAGCTGTCACACAATCTGGAAGAGAAAGGAAGCTTGGGTAAGTGAGCACAGCCTACGTGAAAGGAAATTCGTGGATCTCAAACCCTGCTCCACTTCTCACCAGAGGACTGTGTGTGCTGACTGGGCAGCAGGATTTGGACCACTCCTGCTGAAATGATTAAGGGAAAATTCTCCCCTTGATCATGCAACATCCATGGAGCAAAATGCAGGAGCAATAGTGGGAGCAAACGGGTGCAAGGGCAGCACAGGGCTCTGCTCTCCCGGCCAGGGGGACTGCAGAAGTGGCACTTTACTGTAGCTCTGGGCAGAGTCAAAGGCTCTTGTGAATGACTAGGGACTAGGGAATGTCTGACTAGGGACGGCCGCTCTGCCCAGGACCTGCACGTCGAGCCTGCCAGGAATGTGGCCCATGAAGTTACTGCTTTATAAATCCTGGAAACATCTCCTGATGTTTGTCTTGGTTTCTTTAAATGCAAAGTAAAGAATCACACTGACCACATATGTGAAGCCCTCTGGTGTTAACAGATCCAAATTGCTATATGAGATTGTGTAACAGTAACAGCAAAAGCAGGCAAGTGGCTTCTTTTAGGTTTAGGATGTAATGGCCAAACAGCAGACAAGATGCACACAGGTAAACCTCTGCACTTGGACCACATCCCTCCACAGAACCCAACAGAAGGACTTACGAGGTTGTGCTCTTGTTAATGAAATAGCAAAACTGCCCATACAGGGATTAACTCCTGAGGCTAGAGCCACCAGGATTCATTTGAAGATCCAAGATCCTTACTTGTGAAGTCTAGCGGGACGTCCTTGATGACAATACGTAACTGGGCTGGAATGACCTGTAGTTTACTCTTCTCTGGTCTGGGTTAGAGAGAAAGGAACAAGAGTGTGAACCTTGAACGTTCAGGTGCTGAACACATCAGCTTTCTGTTACCCTCAGAGCACTGTAGAAATTGTCCTCTCATGCTTCTGCTTAACTGTTCTATTGCCTGCTCAGCCCCTGCCCCAGTCTCTTACGCTTACTTCTTATACTCTGCTAAAAGCTTCAGCATGTCTTCATTGGAGAGCTTGCCACTGTCTTGCTTGTACAGAGGCGAGAATTTCCCCTCAGCATCCAGAGTGCCCTGGGAGTCTTTGAAAACTGGCCTGCAGAAAAGAGGAGACACGTGTCTTCAATGCTGGTGAGCAAGCAGACCCTGGGGTCTTTGACCCATCAGGCTGCGGGGCAGGTTCAGTGCACTGTGACTGCTCTGACCAACACCAGACCTCCTGAGCACTCCCCCATCCCCACACACCCCCCAATCCCCCACATCACATAACTGCATGGGACATCACCATGTCCCTTCTCTCCAGTGTGAGAAGGACACACACAGTCCAGTTCCAAGACTGGTCCTCAATCCCCAAAACCCTTCAATCCCCCCCCACTAACACCAAGTGGTGAAGTATCTTCCTAGTTGCACACAGGGTCAGAGCATGGAAATTCTCCTAGGAAAGGAATGTGCAATGAAGACCACTCTCAGGACAGACATCAGCTTCCTCCTGAACCCAGAGCAGGAGACTGGATTCTGCCCTGAATGAATACTGGTGTTATTACCCTTGAAAATAAAGGCTGCGGATGTCTGTGCACAGCAAGAACATTAAAGCATCCATATTCCCTTTCTGGGTAAACACCTTCCCCTGAAACTCACAGGAAAACGGTTCTAGGGATGCAGGACAACACAGCTCCCCGCATGAGGCCACTCAACTCCTTGGTCTCAAAACGCAGCTCCTTACCCAGCAGGAACAAATCTGAAGCCTCTCAAAGTCAATGCCCGAACAGAGCCTGCTGCTAGGCTGAGGCTGCCCTTGAGGGGCTGTGTGCTGGCTCCCAGGAATAAGCTGCATCCCAGAAACACCAGGCTGAAGCCGAGCAGCCAATGTCAAGGGCAAAATCCCTGTACAGCCCCAAATCCCAGCCTGCTGCGATAGCCATTTGGTGTTCCCATGTCAGTACCATCCCTTTGTCAGCATCACAGAGCAACTCAGCTATAGGAGGCAGCAGCAGGGGAATGAACTCGCCTTCAGGCTTTCCTCTGACGTGTGATTTCAGGGAATGAGCATTGATACGCTTTATCAGTCCCAGTAAAGCACAGTGCGGCAATGGGATCGCTATCTGGGGTCAGTCCCAAGAACATTAATTAAAGCAGAGCCCCACACAGGAGCCAAGCCCCAGCTGATAGCCACTGCCAGGCCAGGAGGTCCAGCACTCTCCTCCCTGGCCTGGCAATGACTGGTGCCAGGAGGGAATCTCTGCGCTGATTCCCGCAGCAGCACAGGATGGTGCTATTCATCATCCCCCGGAACGTTCCGCCCCTTAGGGCAGCAGCTACAGGTCAGCAAGGAGGTTACTGCTTTCCCAGCACTGTTTACTCCTTCAGATTTCATTTCTAATTCTAGACAGAGCATTCCAGGCCATCCCCATTCTGCCTTGGGAACCAGAGCCAGGCTCTGCCCTCAGCTGCAGCTTCACCGACCTCAAGCCCTTGGTGCTTTGCCCACCCACTCTGACCGTGTCCCGGGTCATGTCCTGGATAACCTGCAGCAGCGGCTCTGGCCACAGCCAGGCGCAGCCCGCGGTGACTGACCTGGCCGCCCAGCCGAAGGGCATCCGGTACTGCCCCAGACGGCTGCACGCCTGCTTGGCCACCTTATGCACCTTCTGGGCAGTCTGCAAAACACAAGGGGAGAGTGTGAGCACCATGGAGCCCCGGGGGAGGAACTGGAAGCACTGCACTCCCCGGGGAGAAGCAACTCTCCATATGCTGCAAGGCACAACTGAGCTGAGAGACATCCCTGTCACTGCACACCAAGCACAGCTGTCACTTTTGCAGAGCAATAGCAAACACTGGACTGAGATTAGCTATTAGACTGAGGTGAGCTCTTAGGCAGAAGCTCTTCCCTGTGAGGGTGCTGAGGCGCTGGCACAGGGTGCCCAGAGAAGCTGTGGCTGCCCCATCCCTGGCAGTGCTCAAGGGCAGGTTGGACACAGGGGCTTGGAGCAAGCTGCTCCAGTGGAAGGGGTCCCTGCCCGTGGCAGGGGTTGGAGCTGGATGACCTCTAAGGCCTCTTCCTAATGTCTAATCTCAGTCTCCCCTCGGGCAGGTTCAAGCCATTCCCCTTGGCCTGTCCCTCCATCCCTTGTCCCAAGCCCCTCTCCAGCTTTCCTGCAGCCCCTTCAGGCACTGGAGCTGCTCTCAGGTCTCCCCTTCAGGAGCCTTCTCTTCTCCAGGCTGCCCCAGCCCAGCTCTCTCAGCCTGGCTCCAGAGCAGAGCTGCTCCAGCTCTTGCAGCATCTCCGTGGCCTCCTCTAGGCTCACTGCAACAGCTCCACGTCCCTCTTTGTGCTGGGGTAAGACACTGTGTGTAGCACCATGGAACAGTGCAGCCCACTTCTCTAGCCCTGGAGTGTCCCACTCTTGCTGCCAGCCCAGGCTTTGCCTTGTTGAAGTGTAATAGGGAACAGGCCCCCATGCCCCAACCACATGGCTCTGTCTAAAACTCCTCTGCCTCTTTTCAGGCGAAGGAACCAAACCTCTCCCCACAGCACAGCCGAAGCCAGCCCTGCAGCAGCACAAGTACCTGAATGGATGAAAACCATTTGTCAGAACGAGCAGCCCCCGTTTCAGACCACACTACCCCCTGCAGCAGCAGACAGCATTACTGAGCAGAAACTCTCACAGCCCCATCCAATACCTTCCCCGGGTCCGAGTTCTTCATGTACGGCTCTGCACAGTGTGTGATGCTGCCCTGCAGCACCTTCTCCACACGGGCCACCAGGAAGATCTCCACATGTGGGTCGGTCACAGAGAAAACCCCCTGCAAGAGGCAGAGAGCAGGCTGTCAGACAGCAGGGCACCCGACCTGCCCTGCCCTTCCCACAGCACACGCAGCCCCTGCTTTGGTTGCTGCTGCGGACGGGCCATGGGGGCTCACAGGGCTTGAGCATGGTCAGGTCTTGAAAAGCTCTACCTGGAGCTTTGCCTACCGTTGCCAGTGAGCCCAAAGCAGCAAATGGCTTGAGACACTGCCCAAAACCCACTCAGTTCAAGAGAAAAGGTGACTTCAGCCTCTCCACACAGTGGACTACACCACGTTGCAATACTACTGACCAGCCACAGCCTCAAAAGGGATGCAGACTGAGGAGAAAGTCAGCTCTTTACCCGTTTTATGTAGCGCAGGGAAGCCTCAGGGACCCCGTGCACAAGGCTCTCTCCTGGAGAACATCCCTTGGTGCCCTCCGCGCTGGATGCAGCGGTATCCATCAGCATGTCCCGGACAGACGGGGGGTTCAAATCCACATGGAAGTCAGCTGAAATCTTGCAATTATTTTTCAGGTCAAATAACGCCAGGCTCAGGAAAAAGGGCTCGACCTGGAAGCGTGATTGAATACGCGTCAGAAAACCCCACTGCACAGGCCGGCACTGCTGAGGAGCTGCATGTGCCAAGCCTGCCAACGCGTTTGTAGCTCCTGACCTTGACCACACAAGGCAAGCAGCAATAATTCCATGTGTTTTTAATTCACACATCCTAGCAGGCATGTGTGCATGCAAAGATACAAACAAAGGCCTGAAGACAAGACTGTAGCGTGCCTGAGACATTACAGCATGACTTGGAGGCATTACATCAATACTAAAAACATGCTGGTTAGGTCAGACTCTGGCCCGATTAGGGACAGAACAACAAGAATCCCTGCTCTCAGTGACACATTCATCTGCTGGGGTTACCAAGGAGGAGCTGGTGCACGAGCTCTGAACTGCCAGAATGAACCAGCAAAGCCTTTGCAGCTCTAACAGGCACCAGACAAGGTACCATCTGCAGTGCCAGGGCTGCTGCCTCCCCTGCGATGCTTTCTGCTGCTCCAGCACCCTCACATAAAGGGCTGACTCCAAAGGCAGGACATGATAATAGGGGTTATGTTTTGGGAAGAAAGATTGGAGGAGCCTGGTCTGGTCAGCCTGGCAGAACAGAGGCTGAGGAGAGATGTGATAGCTGTCTGCAGACATCAGAGCCTCAGCAAATACAAGGAAGAGGTTTTTAGGCTAAGGCACAACTTTGGCACGGTAACAAATGCATATAATAAAGTGAATACAGTTGTGTGGGAGTGCTGGGCTGTGAATACAGTTAGTCTGGGAGTCAGAAGGTTTTGGAACAAGGAAATCCCTTGCCATTAGGGGAAATGAAATAAAACACAGAAGTGAGTGGTTTGGAGATGGAGCTTAATCATTTACCAACAGGACTTTCACAGGGATCCAGAACATGGCAGACACAAACTCCCCATTCCCCATGCCTCTGAAGTGCTGGTTGGTTTCCCAGCAGTCCATGCTCCCGGCAGGCTGAGGCACACCAGGATGGACCCTGTCCCCAGACACCTTTTTGGAACACCAGACTACCAAGGTAGATAAACCCCTCAATGACCCTGCGCCAGTGCTCACTGCTTGCCCAGGTCCCATCGGAGCCACCCCAATGGGATGCTTTTATCCACCCAGGTTAACCTGCTGAGGGTTCTTCTTGGCAGTGAGGATAAAGAAGACAAAGCAGAACATGCCAGAGCAACCCTTACGTTGGTGGGTCCTCCTTCGGCCCTGTCATTGAGCTGAGCGAGGAGGTTGAGGGAGAAGTCCTGGCAGATCACTACGAAGCGCCTGCTGCTCTTCTCCTCAAAGGGCTTCACGTCTGGCTCCATCCCCGAGAAGTCCAGTCTCTAGACAGCAAACAAGCAAATCTGGTCTCATTAAACAAGAAAACAAAGGCCTGAATAATGTTAAGGGGTCACATTATGGCCAATACCATCTTAATAATCTTTTGTTCAAGTGGTACAGAAAGTACAAGACATTCACAAATGAGCGCCATTTGGGGATGTGACACAAACGTATTCACGGCGTGAATTCATGAGGATGTATCAATTTTTAGCAATCTGGTTTGTAGAGCACAGAAAACTAAACCTCAGGATGATTTCAGTTCCTTCCTGCTTTGCTGTAACCCTGGGGATCTTCCCAAACACCATTTAGAGCTTGGGGAAGAAAGCAGAACATAAGCTGGCGTTACCCTCAGGAAAGTATCTTCCACTTTGAAGATGTGACTAGCTTAAGAGGCGGTTCCTGTGCCTGAAACAGAGAGAAGGCACATGCCGTTGGGATGGTGAACACCTCCTCAAAGTGGGAGGCATTTCTAGATGCACAGCAATAACTGCCATAGCTAGAAACAACAAAGACTGCCTGCAGAGCCAGCTAGAAAACCCAGTCTTGATTATAATCAGCTCCTTTCTTTCTAACCCAGAACACCCATGCCTGGTCTGTGCCTCAACATCCACCCTTCTGGGAGAAGAGATACACGTGTCCAAAACACCACCAGCTAGACAAGAGCTTCACCATACCCATCATACTGGGCAGTGGGCACACACAGCTACCAAACACCCTTGAATAGCAGCACATCTCTTGGAGACTATCCTGCACAAACCCGCATGCCAAACCCAGGGAGCCGATACCTCCCAGTCAAGTCCTTCCAGCAAAATAGGCTGCAATTGCTTATCTGATTGTGGGAAACTCTTCCCACTGCTTCCTCTGCTTCTCTTCAATGAGGAAAGTATGTTTTAGGTCTATGTTCCTGCTCCCAGTTTCCTTAGCACCAGATGTACAAGGGTGCACAGACAAACCCGGATTGACCAGAGCAGCGATTCTGGATGCCAAGTGCTGCAGCAGATCTGACTGACCCACAGCAGAATGAAGAGCTCTGGGTATAGAGGGAGGACAATGAATGCAGCCTAACCAGGTGGTTAGGTGAAAGCACCCAGATCTTAGATGCTCCACGCTGAATAATATCTCCATGGTCTCCTGGATGCTTATCCTCTTTCTGTTAAAGACTTTAAAGGAGCAAGAGAAAAGCTCAGAACTAAACCTTGTAAAGACTAATTACATTTCCTTGTTAAACCAGAAAGTCCTTTTTCACAGCTGTGAACAAGCCAAAGCCTGTCACAGAAGGAGAACCAGAAACCACCAAGTAACTAGGAACAATTCTCTCCAACTCTACGAACAATTGCAGCCCATTCCACTGAAATCCCACACCTGGACCTTGGCAGAAAGCTTAGCAAAGATGTCAAAGCCGAGAGGAAAGCAAGGCAATAGCCAATGAACTCCTGCCCCAGAGCACGAGAGCAGCACGGGGTGGTTTTCCTGGTTGTATGGGCCCTACATCTGAGAACTCTCTGAAGACTGAGACTCTCCCTGTAAGCCACTCGCACGGTCTTTAACATCACTGTTAGACTCCAGACATGCTCAGGCCACGTGGGCTGCAGGTGTCCTTGCGATACTTCTACTGCTTCTGCAGCCATGAGAACCTCCCAGACACCCAGATGATGGGTTTGAAATCCAGCAGCATCAAGAAGCATCATACAGAAGCCAGCAAAGCTGGAGGGAGGCCACGTGTGGGGCTGCTGTTACTCTTCCCTTTATTTGAGCTATCACCTGAGCACTGACATGCTCAGCTCTCGCATGAGCTGCCCTTCTGTTCCACAGCCCACTGGAACACAGTGGGAAGAGGGGAGGCAGGTCCAGGGAACAAAACCTCACATTTACAACTATGGGGATGTTTACCTGGACTTCTGGGTCGAAAGAAAAGAGGTTTTGTCTTCCATCGTTTCTGCTCAGTTTGTTCAGCTGCTCTGTTTCTCTTCCGTACTAGGACAAAGGAAAGCACTGGTATTACTGCCTGGCCACACAGGGCAAACACTCGTTATTTGCAAAGAATGGAAGCAAAACAAAATAGAAGTTTTCAGGTTTCCTTTGTGGTACGTGAGATGATCATAGAATCCCAGACTGGTTTGGGCTGGAAAGGACTTTAAGATAATCCAGTTCCAGCTCCCCTGCCAAAGGCAAAGACCCCTTCCACTGGAGCAGCTTGCTCCAAGCCCCTGTGTCCAACCTGCCCTTGAACACTGCCAGGGATGGGGCAGCCACAGCTTCTCTGGGCACCCTGTGCCAGCGCCTCAGCACCCTCACAGGGAAGAGCTTCTGCTTTATCTAACCTGAACTTCCCCTGTTTCAGTCTGAACCCATCACCCCTTGTCCTGTCACTACTGTCCCTGATGAAGAGCCCCTCTCCAGCATCCTTGTAGCCCCCTTCAGACACTGGAAGCTGCTCTGAGGTCTCCATGCAGCCTCTCTTCTCCAGGCTGAACAGCCCCAGTGTTCTCAGCCTGGCTCCATGTAAGATATGCTCCAGCCCCTGATCATCCCCATGGCCTCCTCTGGACTTCTCAGCTGTAGCCACCAACGCTGTGCAGTGGCAGTAGAGCAATGTGGCTCTGCCAGATGAGAAACCAGACAGAAGCAGGGAACCACAATGCATCATAAACAGAATGTGGCTGCCACCTAACTGCCCCTCTGCTCTCATGGCCTGGACGGCCACCTCTGCTGAGCAGGAATGAGCACTACTGACCACAACAGCCCTTCATTTGCTCTAACTGGCTCTTCCTTAAACGCTCTACACTTGGAGGCAAGGAAAATGCAGCCTCAGATCACAGAGCTCCATCCATGAGACAGGCAGATGAGAGAACAGGGACCCCACCAGCACTCGGAGCCTGCATGGCTCCCCCAGAGCTGAAGACACAGAAATGGAAAACCCCTTTTTATAGACATGGAGGAGGCAACTGTCTATGGGCTGGGAGAGTGTCCTCTGCACACACAATACCTTCATCAGCTCTGGATGCATGCTCCTCTCCAGGCTCTCCAGGATGTTCTCCGTTTTTCCCTGCGTGCCCGATTCATCATCTGCAAGGACACAAAGAGCAGATGTTCAAAACAACTGCAGGAGCACTGCTCTGCCAGAACGGATCCTGCAGTATTAGCTTAGAATAGCACAGAAACACTTCATGGGGACTTTTCCACTCCTCTGAAGTGAGATTTTTCCATACATTACCAGTACCAGAGTGTGTTATTACAGCCTGCTAGGTCTTTCCAAAGCAGAACTCCAGCACAGAGCCAATTTTCCAGGAGTCCTGAAAATTTGCCACGGATTTCCCATCCAGAAGGAGGGTCATATTTCCCACCACTTTCATCCCTCAGACTATTGTCTCCATTATACTAAGCCCTTTCACATGATATCATGTGTCAGCCACAATTCTTGCTATTGATACAGGAAGACAAACACACACTTCTCCAAGCACACTGCTCACATCCTCCTGCAGAGGGGTGAAGGTAGGTTGCTTATTTGTAAGCTGACCTTGCACAGATTCCACAGTGTCTTTCTTCTCTTGCACCAAACTCTCAGTATTGCTCTGGATGATCTTCCTCAGAGTCACCAGCCATTCTTCCATCTCCTGCTCGGTTTCAGCTGCCAGGTAGTGGCTGTACTTGTCTATTGTCTTCAGTTCAAACGCGTAACGGCGCATCTTGGGACACTGAAAAGAAACAAGAACGAGAAAGATCTGTGTTACATTTTGCTCAGCACCTCTCTGTGGAAGCATCCTGAACTGAAACACCATGAGGCACAATGCCAGCACCCTTGCTGACACCGTGCAGCCTCTTCTGCAGCAATCACAAAGGGCTTCATGGCTGCGATCAAGCCGTTGGCAGCTCCATGCTTGACAGCTACTCTGAAAGTGGAAGAGAGCCAGACTGAACCACAGACACTGCACTGAAGAGCCCAAGCAAGCTCCTTCTCCTGTTGTCAGACCTTTAATGTTTACCCAGAGAAGCAAGGAGCTGGATTTATCTGACACAGTAAGTAATGGTGCACTCCAGGACACTTAGAGGCACCTAATTAAAAGCAAGTGGTTCAATACAACATCTCTGAGCTCTGTTGGCCTTTAAACAGCATTTTCCAACTGGAAACCAAGGCAAACCTGATGTACACCCGTACATCACTGAGGCATGTGTACTGCTGCTTTTCCTGTGTTCAGAAAGACATCGACCCTGTGTTCAGGAAGCACACAGCTCCAATTCACCCACGCTGAAGTGAGTAACTTAAGGTCCCTGTACTGGCTCCATGGCACTTGGAGCTTCTGCAGAGGCAGCAGCAGAAGGCACAGCAGCAATCCACTGCTGCACTTCTCTCTCAGCATAACAAAACAAACCCAGGTTTAAGCTCTGTACAAATACCTGCTCCTAAAACCCTACAAGACCACCGCAGGCTGAAAGTCCCAAGGGGTTGCATGTTTCCATGGACTTATCGGGATGTAACTGAAGAAACAAGAAGCTGATGTAAGCAGCAAATAGAGGAGGAAGGTGCTCAAGACTAAGTCACACCAATTACTGGCCTCAACCCTCTGGCGTCTTGGAAGGCACCTGAGCTACGATAACCAGGTAAAGGAGATGGACAGACCAGGGAGAGAGCAGATGAGGTAGTGAAGAAACGCTTCTATTTTACTCCGACAGCAGCTCTCCACTTGCTGTCTTGTTGGCCAGAAGTATGGCACCCTCATGGACTGCCCTGCCTGCATTTTAACAGGATGAACTGACAGAGCAAGCCAGCTCTGGGTTAGTTTGCAAATCCGTATCTTCACCCCTCAGTGGCACAGACCTTGGAGAGATGTCTGTCTCAGAGCTAGCAGTGCATCAGCCCATGTCCAGCTATGCAGGAAGCACACCCACCTGAACGACATCATTGCAAGCATCCAAGAAAATGCAGCCTTTGGATTCCTTGGAAATCTTCTCATCTTTGTAGGAATTAAGAATATAGGAACCATCCGTGAGTTGTGACAAGTAAAAATACCTCCTCTTGAACACCTGCAAAAGAAAAAAGTCTTGCTCATGCAAGTATTCACTCTGTTGTATATCATAAACTGCAGCCACAGGATGTGCCCTCCTGCTATTGAGAAAACACTGGAACAAGAAACACTTAAGACCCTGGAGTGTTGTGATTCACCCCTTTGAGTACAACTGGTTTTCGTAGGGATTTCATCATCTTCTTTAACTCTAATGTCCTTGTTGTTATGATAAGTTTGTCCATCTAAAGCAAAGCCCCAGAGCTTTCAGCTCCCCTCTCAGCTGGCTCCAGCCTCCTTTATCTTTACAAAGTAATGCAGCATGGTACATTCAGATCAGCTCACTGCTTGATGCATCCCAGCCTAGAGCAGGTATTGCCAGAGCCTTTTTGATAAAGACCTTAGTTAGAATTACAAAGCAATTCTCTGGAAGACTTTGGAACAGACATGTGGAAATTCCTAGCAAGCAAATGCAAGCCAAGGGACACTAATCCATTCAACGGCTTGGGGCTTTGTTGTTTGGTTTTGTTACGATTTGCTTTGTGTTTTTTATATATATATATATACACACATACACACACACACCTATTTTTCATATGAAGTGGCTTGGCTCAGTGTTCAATTCTCATAAAGCAGCAAGCTTGGGAGAAGTGAATCTATGTTTGAGATATTGACTTCTATGAAAAAACCAAGCTCTTCACTATCTCAGAGCATCTCCCTTCACATTTGTCAGCCAAAAGGCTGGCTGTAATTCAGGACTTTAATTCAGGAGAACATTTTGGCAGCAGTTACGACAGCACCATATGCTGTCAGGCTGTAAGGAGCAGGGTGCATTTCACAGTTGCTGGGTGTCTGTGTTAGGAGAACCATGAAGGAAGCTGCAGCAAGCAGCACTGTGAGTATTTTCCACTCTTCTGCATATCTGGAAGATCTACAAATAAACACAACATTTTTCATCCCAGATGGGAGACTCCTAGTAATTTCCTGCTCCCACCACTGCTGACACGAGCACGTGTTCAACAAAACCACTCACACAGAACTGGAAGGGAGTGTTGTGCTCTGAATGATAACCTCTGGCATCATTTAGATGACTACTTAGCCACAGAGCTGCTCCAAGAGCTGTTTTAATAAGATTTACCTAAACCTTTAGTCCAACAAAGCATAAAAATACATGGAAAGCTAAGTATGCTAAGCATTAAGCCAGCTTAAACACTGATTTAGCACTTCACTGAATCAATGGCAGAAACTCTGGCAGTGGATGTTACAGAAACCCATGACAGATCTCTCTTTAGATATTACAGGGTTGATACCCCTTGTGGGTATGGGATTTCACACTAAACCATTTGGCATCTTCTGAATTCTGTTCCAAAGGAAATGTAGAAGCAAGCAGCAAACACTATTCCTATGATCCTTTCCCCTTGTAAGCACTGCTGTCAGAAATAATTGCCAGAAAACTACGCTCTTTTGAAATGAATACTAGAAACCTGGGAACAGAGGGGAACATCCGCTCTGATCGGGCTACAGATGCTGCTGGTGAGCACTGCAATTGCAGAGGGATGGCTACAGAACTGGGGAGGTCCATTAGGGAAGGCAGGGAGCAAAGGGAGAGGAGGGAGGAGAAAACTGATGCCCTGGTTGTAATGCAGCACACTGACATGCTGCAGAGCAGACAGCAAGAGAGCTGGGCCAAGCCAGGGAAGCTCTCTGCAAAGGAAAGGTTACCCTGAAATCAAGGTTTGATGGCTGTACCCTACTTACAGCTTGCTCGTGGGCTGGCTCTCCACATGGTTAGCAACAATGTGAGGTACCAAGCACCCAGCACGTGGCAGCGATGGAACAGCCAGCACCCAAGAGATGGATGCATGTGCTTCTGCTATGGCACAGGAGCTTCTCAACATGGTGATAATGCCGAAGACGTTCGAAGTCCTCAGGTTTCTTGCATGTGCCTTAGGAGGTGTTTTGTAAGATACAGAAGTGACCAGGACCAGCTCAGAAAACAGCTGCCGATGGCTGGTACTTTGAGTTTCACAAGAGACTCTGTGGATCTTATTAATGGAACTGAAGCCAGTGGAGTTCAGAGAACATCTCTGGAGGGTGGGTCTGAGGTGCTGAGCACAGACACCAACAACACCACAAGAGGCTCAGTCAAGAACGAAGCCAACTGACTACTTTCAGCATGTATGATACCTCATCCAGAAGTTAAAGGAGCAGAAATGGCTTCAACCTTGCTGCTTGGAAAAGCAGAGCACCAGAAAACCCTGCTCTGCGCGTGGCCTTCAGGCTCATGAGTAATCAGTTTAAAACTCCACTAAATTTAGCACTATGAATGGCTCTGCTCCACCTCTCATGAAAGCAGAACTCAGGAAATCTCAAAAAGCTCGGTTCAACAATATCCTCACAAAGCAGCCTCGCTGCAGCCACCCTTCAGCTGCACAGTGGAGGGTAAGTCCCTCATCCTCTCTATGCTGTCGGGAGGCAGCTGCAGGGTGGGAGAAGAGACGGGCTCACTGCCACAGCAAAAACCTGAGCTGGAACTGCTAATGCTCAATGTGAGCCCTGTCATGCTGGATCACGTGCAGTGTTGAACAGGAGACAATGCAGCTGCTGCTTCTAGGTCAGTAAAGCTCCATCTCCTCGGTGTTATCACCCCTGCTTTTCAAGCTAAGACTTGGCTTGCAATTTAAAGCTGGCCTCCATACATCTTTCCTACCAGCAAGGAAACCATCAATTCAGAGGAGTCTTTTCTGCAGGGCAGCTGTTTCAGTAATTTAAATCGCCTTCCTCTTCTGGGCCTCAGCTGCTCATTCAGAAACAACCCTGGTTTACTGAAACAGGCCTTTCTGTTCAGCTTGCTTGTCACGAATTGAATTGCATGGGTCTTATATTCTGGGGAGGGAAGGGGCGAAAAGCTCTTGCCAGACTGGGTTTTCCAGTCCACCTTGGGATGCTCCACAAGAGGGACAGATGCCCATCCAAACGCAAGCCTGCACTCCTGAAGCGGTCTGAGCTTAACCTCGTGCCTTGTTCACGATGAGCATAATGCTGGATTAAACTCACCTTCATGGTAACAGTGATGGTGCTGTTCACATTGGCTTTGTGCAGCCAGCCTTGCTTTATCACCCCACCCTTCTGCGAGCACAGGGAGGAGGAATCCTGAAAGAGAGCAAAAGAGGCCAGGTTGGACACAGGGGCTTGGAGCAAGCTGCTCTAGTGGAAGGTGTCCTGCTGCGGCAGGGGTTGGAGCTGGAGGAGCTTTAAGGTCCTTTCCAACACAAACTATTCTGTGATGCTATGAAAAAGAGGTGAACTGCCTCCCATGCAAAATTCCCCTTGGACACAAGGATTATCTCCACCCTGGGAAGCAATACTGCTCTAATTACAGTGATAAAACGACACATGTGTACAACAATACGTGTGTAACACGGGCAGCTACACATACAGTGTTCTCACAAAAAACCATCAGGGTTATCTCTTTCCAAGAAAGAGGCAAAACAGGCTAGTTTGGGTCACCTTTAAAAGGACAAATTACAGCTACACTGCCAGAGCTGCACAGCAGTTTGCAGTGAGGAAACGCACGGTGGTTCTTACACAGCGTTTCAAAAGCTTGGGGGAAGAAGGAGGTTACCAAAATGGAGGTTGCAAAATGCAGAACTCCAGCCCTATTGTGTCATTTCCCTTTGGATAAACCAACTCTCCATTCCACATTTAGGTGAAAACCCCCAGGCCACAACAGGTGGAACATAGCTGCACATCTGATGAACCAGAAAGTTTCAAGTGAGCAGCCAGGCTGTGCCTGGTGTGGGAGCTGGGATGCGCACCTCTGCTCCTGGCCCGTGGTCCCAGCCAGGGAGCACAGCTCTGCATCCATACCCAACTGTGATCCCCACTGGGGAGGGAAGGCAATGAGATCCCAGACTGATGAAGAAAACTTGCCCTGGGACTTGCAGTGACTCAGCAGCAGAGGTGGACCTGGGCTGTCTGCCCGTGGGCTGTGAAGGGAATGGTTTGTATTGCCTCCTGCGTCCCGAATGGCAGGTTTTCACTCTTTTCTTGTCAAACTTCCAATGACAAAGTAAACTTTCTGGTGCTTTATTTCCCTGGGTAAAACAACCCGTGATTCCTCCTTTATATTGGTTCACCTTTTTCCATCATGAGACTGCTTTTACTCAAATTTCCATTACAGAATTCTAATGCAAATGTCAGGAAACTGTAACAGAATCCTTCAGATATGGCCATGCCAAAACATATAAATGACAAAATAGCTGCCAAAGCACTTGGAATACTCCTTGCCAACCAACCTCAGTAACTTCAGTTTGTGAACACTGACCAGAAGAAAAGAGGTTTCCACCCAATTTTGATAGCACATTTGTGTCCTTTCGCTTTTTCCCCACCCCTGGCAGTGTTGAAGGCCAGGTTGGACAGGACTTGGAAGTGGATAAGCTTTAAGGTCCTTTCCAACCCAAACCAGTCTATCATTCTATGCTGTTACCATACTGCACAGCTCTGTCTCCAGCCCATATTAGGTATGATTAAAGAGGTACCACCTCAAGTTAACAATGTAATGCAACCCAACTACATAGGAAAAGAGAAAACTAAAACATTTCCATTTCCAAAGAAGCTATCCCAGTCCAGACCCGAGGGGCACTGAGAGACACACAGCAACTGGGAGGACATGCAGCCAACAGCCCCTTCAAATCTTCAGCTCCCCAAGAAAGAAACTTCCCTTTTCCTTCACCCTCAGCAGCAGCAGCTCAGTGCCCTGTGGGTTTTAAAACAGCTGAGCTAAGCTCTTCCCACCGTAAACTACAACTTCCTAATGCCATGGGTGTGAATTAGGCTTCATATGGTACTTGGGACAGAAAAATGCTCCCCTCCCTTTTGTAGCAAACATGATCTGCAGAGGGAAACACAGCATCCTCCAAAATGAGCACCAGGATGGGGATGTCCCCACTGGCAGAGCCCCCAGCTCACCTCAGGGAATTGCTCCAGGCTTGCAAACCTTCCCTGCGACCAGCTGAGTGCAAACAGGCAACTTCCAGAGGGAGCAAACCCCTGGAACACTGGCACAGCATACAGGGAACAGGACTGACACGTCCGAGTACCTGGGGTCGGGGTGACTGCTTGGGAATTGCAGGTTATGTGCTAAAGGAGGACCCCGATATCACAGTGTGGTTGGAAACCAAATTGCCCACTTTTCATTCTGGACATGAAGAATTTACTTAGTCATTGCTTGCCTTCCTTTTTTAATTTCCTCTGCTGCACTGTTTCAAGTAAAAACCGTTATATTAGGGCTAATCTTGCAGATATAGGAGACCCTTAGCTCCAAGAGATTGCCCTGAAACATATCATACTCTGAAATATGTCACTGGCTCAGTTTTGGTCACATCTTCACAGCACAGAACATCTCATCGGAACACCACTGCTGGGAACTGAATTCTGACTTTGCCTTGTGAAATCTGCTTTTGAACAGAACTTACAGTGGAACATGTGAAAACAAAGCAAGTACCTCCTCACCTCATCCTTTTCAAAGTCTTCATCGATTTCAAACACATGGCTTGGAATCTTGTCTGGCCTGAAGGATTTGCTGAAAACACAACACACTGTTATTTACCATGACTGGGACACGAGGGTCCTGCAGGCCAGCAGCCGATGCTGGATCCAGGAGGAAGAGCCAAACTGCAGACTAGAGAGCACATCAGAGCTGTCCTTCTGCAGGAGGCACGTCCCCGTACAGCTGGAGGAAGCTGATTTCTGAGTGCATTTCATGGATATTAAGCACAAGCTGTATGTAATAAGCTTGCTCCTTGTTAGCTGATTCTGCAGGGATTTTGCTGACTTGCATTTATGCAGCACAGAGATGCAGCAGGCCACTTTATCTTCCATTGGAGCACACGGCTCCCCATCACTGCAGCATTAACAGCAATACTGCATCCCCAAATGAAGCTGTCCAACACCCTCCAAATGACAGGGGCACAAAGATCTGCTTGGCACGAGCCCACCATGTCCAGCACACACAGAACATCAGCCCACGGGGACAAGGAGGCTCTCAGTTTGGGATGAGCAGACACTGCCAACAGTATTTATCCTGCCACAAGGCCGGTCTGTGGGGCATCCTCATCCCAGACAGGCACTGGTGGACAGGATGTGAAGTGATGAAGTAAGATCCCCATGGCAGGGCTTGGAACTGGATGAGCTTTAAGGTCCCTTCCAACCCAAACCAGCCTGGGATTCTATGATCCATGCTGACAATATTGTCAGCATCTCCCTGGCAGAGCTGAATGCCAACATTGTGATAACATGAACCTCTGGCCCTCTAGCTTTCCCAGTGACATACCCCTGGAGGGAAGGCTGCTTGTGAGACAGGCATCAGAAAGGGTCCTGTTAAGCCTCATCAAACCCCAGCCCTGTGACCATGCATTAATATTCCAAGGGAGCACAACACTTACCATGGCAACATCCGAAAGTCTCCTGAGTATTCCTCATACTTGTAGTTCACCACGTGCCAGTCTGAGCTGTAGGTTTTAATGCACTGAAAGGAAAACAATGCAGCTCTTTGAAAGCTACAGCAAGCAAAACAAAACCGTGCACAAGGCTGAAAGGCTACAGACTGCTGGGTGAGGGAAGCACAAGTGGAACAGGCCTGACCAAGGCTGCTCCTCTTGCCTGAAGGAAGGCGCTGCGCGGACTCCTGTCCCTACCTCTTTGACGAAGAGACTCTGAGCTTTCTTTAGAGCATCTTCTGGCACTGTCGACTGGACAGTCCTTCTCTGTCGACTGATGACTGAGATCTGCAGGGAAAAGAACACGCTTTGAGTGCAAACTGGGTCTTCAGGGCTCAATACTTGCTTTAAATCAATACTGTGGTCCCAAATCGCCAGTGGGTCATTTTGGCTTTAGGGGTCAGAAACGCAGCCAACACGAACATGTGGCAAAGAGCAGAAACCTTCCAAACGAAGCAGGACTGGAGGCAGGTGAGCCTCAAGCACGAGAAAGAGCCAGCACCAACTCACAGACACATCCTCGATGGGGAATATCAGCAGGTCCCGGAGGGGATCGCTGTAGATCTGAACCTTGCGCTGAAGGATCACGTTCTCATAATCCAAGGGTTCAACCACTTTTGTTTTTTCCTGGAGAAAAAAAGAAAGAAGATGAAGAATAATATATATATATAATAAATAAAATAACCAGTAACTAAGGTCTTGTGCTTAATTTAGCCTGACAATTACACAGCACAGTGTGGACTGCTCGCTAATTCAGCAACAGGCGAGGCAGGTAACGACCCATGTGCATGACTTCTGAGAGGGAAACGAGGGGTTAAGTTATTTGTGCCTGGTAATAAGCCATGGGAAGAAACAGAGCTTTGTGCTGCTCTCGTCCAAGCACAGCCTCTAATTCCTTAATGGAGCAAGAAATGCTCCTGGGCAGGCCACAGCCTTAGCAGCTGCTTCAGTCTCTTTACATTGGAGCAGCTCATCCGTGTTGCTCAGAGGAAACACAGCCTCTGGCGCTGTTGGGATGAGAGCAAGGCGGCTGCTGTGACCTCCGGGGCAGACATCTCGCCTGTGGAAGGAAGCACAGCATCCCCCTGGAAATGCAGGGAAGCCCTCTCCATAAATCACACCTCAGCCAGAGCCAACGGCTGGGAAAATCTGGGGCCTGGTTTTGCTCTCATTTACATTTCTGGGAAGCGAGAGGAACTGCTGCGAAATCCCCGGTAAAACTATCAGAGCATCGTTACAGTCACTGCTGAATTACTTCTATCTGTGCTACACGTCAGAGAACCCCAGCCTGGTTTGGGTTGGAAGGGACCTTAGAGCTCATTCAGTTCCAATGCCATGCCACGGGCACGGACACCTTCCACTGGAGCAGCTTGCTCCAAGCCCCTGTGTCCAACCTGGCCTTGAACACTGCCAGGGATGGGGCAGCCACAGCTTCTCTAAAGGGAAGCCAGAAGAGGTTTGTAAGCAAAGCAGCTGCTCACAGAGGGCTGTGTCCTGTCTCCTGCCTGCCACCACAGGCTTCTCCATCCCTCCCAATCCATGCCTGCTGCTCAGTGGGGCCAGCCATGCCCATGCCCCTGCAAACAGACGGGCAGAGTAAGGAGGAAGACATCATAGATACCTTTTGCCCTTTGTCCCACCCTAGTGCCCCGTGTCCCAGCATGGCTGGAGATAAAGCTTTAAGCCCTGGAAATGAGCTTTCAGAGTCTTAGTTTTGCTGAAGAGCTTGGTTGAAGCACACACCTCCTGGCATCCAGGAGCCTCGCGCTGCCCGCTGCTGTCACAGCAGCAGATGGAACCCATCACAGTCATTATCAGAGCAGAGGAAAAACTATTACACTAAAGTAATTAGAGTCTTAGAAACCACAAATTCCTCCACGGGGAAAGCCAATATCCAGGCACAAAGAGAGGCTGCCAGTCCAGCAACAAAATCAGCCTGTGTCTGCAGGAAAACACGTGCAGTGCTGTCAAAGGTTCACTGGCACACACATGGCAGCTGAGTAGAGACCTCAGAGCAGCTTCCAGTGTCTGAAGGGGGCTACAAGGATGCTGGGGAGGGACTCGTCATCAGGGGCTGTAGAAACAGGGCAAGGGGTGATGGGTTCAGACTGAAACAGGGGAAGTCCAGGTTGGATTTATCAGGTTAGACAGGGGCAGCAGCCCCCAGCTCAAAGCACTGGGATCAAAACCTGTGGGAAAACACCTCAGGGGGGCAAAAACGAACCTGATTTTAAAGGGAGAGAACAGGAGAGCAGTGTGCCTGCCTGGAGAAGCACACCCACCTCCTCCTTACCTCCGGGTAAGCATCACCCACCTCCTCCTTACCTCCAGGTAAGCATCACCCACCTCCTCCTTACCTCCGGGTAAGCATCACCCACCTCCTCCTTACCTCCGGGTAAGCATCACCCACCTCCTCCTTACCTCCGGGTAAGCATCACCCACCTCCTCCTTACCTCCGGGTAAGCATCACCCACCTCCTCCTTACCTCCAGGTAAGCATCACCCACCTCCTCCTTACCTCCGGGTAAGCATCACCCACCTCCTCCTTACCTCCGGGTAAGCATCACCCACCTCCTCCTTACCTCCAGGTAAGCATCACTCACCCCCTCCTTACCTCCGGGTAAGCATCACTCACCCCCTCCTTACCTCCAGGTAAGCATCACCCACCTCCTCCTTACCTCCAGGTAAGCATCACTCACCCCCTCCTTACCTCCAGGTAAGCATCACTCACCACCGGTTCAAGCCCCCCATACCAGCCTGTGCCCCAAAACACGTGCTGCTTCCTCTGCCCTTCTGCATCTGCCCTGAGACTGTTGCCTCCCCCAGCACAAGGAAGAGGGTCGCAGGCCCCATCCAGGCTGGGTCACGAGGCTCCCCTTGGACAACACAGAGGGAAACAACAGCCTCTCTATTAGAGCAGTGACTCTTCACCAAGCAAGCTGGCTGACATTTGAACAGGAAATTCAATGAAATTACTGCAACAGAAACATGCCCACGGACACCAACGCAAGGCTCGGCTTTGGCCAAGCACGGGCACAAGGAAAACCCCAAGGAAAGGTCCTGATCCTCAGCGCCCTGCTTGTGGTGCTGCCCTCTGCCAGCCTGAGCACAAATCCCCACTAGACAGAAACCACCAGAGAGCCTGAAGGAAAGGCTGAGCGAGGGAGTTACCAGTACCCAAGAGGGGGGAAATCTTTAGAAGTCAGATTCGCTTCTCACCTTTCTGCATCCATCTGCAAAGCTTATAAAATTCCTTATATTTGCTTTCCAAACAAAGGCTCACGACAGCTGAGAACATTCACGTGGGAAGGACAGCAAAGGACATTTCTATTTTAGCTTTCATTGCCTGAAAACCAGCAGCCACCTGTGTTCTAGAGCTCCACATCTGTATATAATACAAACATGCTGGTATTTTCATTATAAGAATACGATTAATTGACATTAATATGATTCTTCCCTGTGAGGGTGCTGAGGCGCTGCCACAGGGTGCCCAGAGAAGCTGTGGCTGCCCCATCCCTGGCAGTGTTCAAGGGCAGGTTGGACACAGGGGCTTGGAGCAAGCTGCTCCAGTGGAAGGGGTCCCTGCCCGTGGCAGGGGTTGGAGCTGGAGGAGCTTTAAGGTCCCTTCCAACCCAAACCAGGCTGGGGTTCTACTGACAGTGTTTTTCTGTGACTCTTTGCTCCCACAATTACAACAGGTATAACCCAAGTGAAGTGAATGTATGGGAAAAGTGAATGAAAAATGTTTAATTCAAGCAGCCCAGCTCTCGCAGCCTGCCTCCAGAGCAGAGCCGCTCCAGCCCTCGCAGCATCACCAAGGGGGGGGCACCTTTAACCAATGTGCTTGTCCCCAGGCGCTGACACAAGCTCCATGGTGGCTGCCACCGCATGTTTCCCATTGTACAGCGGAAGCCAAGCCCAGAGCAAACCCTGACCCAGCACGGAAGCTGCATCACCATCAACTTCAGCATCTCAGGGCGCCAACAGCCAGCACAGAGACACCAACACGCACGGCTCCATCCCCACCCAGCTCCACCAGCCCTGCAGTGCTTCCTCTGTGCCGTCCTCTGCACAGCCCTGAGGCCATGGGGTTTTCTCACTTCCTCAGAAACAAAGCTCTACCCCATGCATGCACCCAGCTCACAAAGTACCTGCAGACACAAGGGACAGGAATATTAAGACTTCAGGGAGACCTTAGAGCAGCTCCAGTGCCTAAAGGGGCTGCAGGAAACCTGGAGAGGGGCTTGGGACAAGGGATGGAGGGACAGGCTAAGGGGAATGGCTTTAACCTGCCCGAGGGGAGATTGAGATGAGCTCTTAGGCAGAAGCTCTTCCCTGGGAGGGTGTTGAGGCGCTGGCACAGGGTGCCCAGAGAAGCTGTGGCTGCCCCATCCCTGGCAGTGTTCAAGGCCAGGTTGGACACAGGGGCTTGGAGCAAGCTGCTCTATGGAAGGGGTCCCTGCCTGTGGCAGGGGTTGGAGCTGGAGGAGCTTTGAGGTCCCTTCAACCCAACCCAGGCTGGGGTTCTGTGATTAAATTGATGGTTCTTTAGAGGAGCTAAAAGGAGAGGAGGAAATCACATGGCCCACGGGTCCATATTAATGTATTATCTCAGGCTTTACAACACTGCCCCATAATTTAGCAAGCATTTTACAGCTCCCCTATTTCCTGCCTCTGCTGTTGCAACCCTGTAACGCACTAAGGTGGAAAACTCAAAGGCCTGATTTTGAAACAGCTCCCAAGGGGCAAAATAGGTGAAACACACAGAAAACAGGAGGAAAAGGCAACCTGGGGAACTTGTTCAAACATAAAGAGGGGACAAAACCAGAAGCGTACAAGTACTCTTTGGACATACCGGTCACCATCATCACTCCCGAGGCTGGCAGCAGCCTAGGGCAGAACAGGACCATTCCCCACTGCAATGTGCAGACTGGAAACTGAGGATGCCTTGCAGGCAGCAAAGAGAACTCCCCATTTCTTATGTGGCTCATGGAACCTGGCAGGACATGGGAGAATTTAAATGGAACTGAGAAAATTCACTTGGCAAACAGCATGGGCACATGGAGCTGAGACATTTCTACCCACAGCAAAGCTTTCCAAAGGCAGGGATACAGAGATCTCTACTCAGGGCTCTCTCAAATCATGCGGTCTTTAACAGCTTTCTGGTTTTAAACAGCACATTTGTGGCTCTTCCCTTTTTCTGCCCCCAGCTCCTGCACTCCCATCTGATCCCACGGCTCTGCTCCGATTCCAGCTTGCAGGAAGGATGCAGAGCTGAGTTGCACACAGAATTCATCCTTCCAGCAACCCAGGCATAAGAAAGAACAATGAAAAGCGGGGTACCCTGAGCTGGGTCATCCAGTGCCTGCAACCACCACAACCCTGTGCAAAGGCAGAGTAAAGTCTGTACCCCAAAGACTTGGCATTCAAAAGCACAGGAGAGGGAAGAGGTGGAATGGGAAACGAGGGAGGCAGAGCAAGCGGAGGCAGTGTGAGTCAGCACACATGGCAGCAGGCACAACTGATGCAGCCCTGCTGCTGCCAGGAGGTTTGTGGGCTCCTCAGCAAAGCCATGTGGATTCCCATAGAGGGAATCAGGAGGGAGACGAGGAAGCATCTCTCAGCAGG